GAAAACCAGTGGAGAAAGCACAGAGCTCGAAACGCAGTGAACACGGAGCCGGCCCCACCTGGCCCCACCTGGCCCCACCTGGCCCCACCTGGCCCCGGCAGGAACACAGCCACGAAGCCGGGACTGACCATGACTTAGACCATAAAACATCCTCAACACACTTAAAAGATTTATGACTTAAAAAACTGGCTCACGAGACGATGGAGGCTGAGAGGCCCCACCATCTGCCCATGAGAGTCCGCGGGTGGAGCCGGTCAGAGGCTGGAGGCCCGGGAGCCGAGAAAACACGGGCCGACGGTTTAAGGCCCAGTCCAAGGGCCGGAGACGTCCAAGGTCGCTCGGTCAGGCGTGGAGAGAAAATCCTCCCTTCCTCCATCTTCTGCTCTACCCAGGCCCCCGGCACGCTGAATCACGGCCACCCACCCTGGGAGGGGGGCAGTCTGCCTGGCACGGTCTACTGGTCCAAGTGCCGACCTCTCTTGTGAACACCAGCACAGACACACCCAGAACTAATGTTTTAGCGGACAGCTGGGCATCCCGCAGCCCGGTGGGCACGCAGAATGGACCTCCAGAACGCCCCAGCCCAGGGAGGCACCCACAGACCCAGGGTAAAAATAGGCAGGGTCCCCACGGGAGGGGAGAGCTCTCACCCTCAGGGCCCCAGTGATGGGCGTGGTCTGGGTCTCAGTGTGCACGTCCATCCGTGTTCTCACACACACGCACGCACACGGACTTAAACTCCGAGGACCCTCCAAGGTGGACGTTCACGGCTCCTTCGGGGACTGTCGGGCGCAGGATACTTACTGCAAGTGACTCCCAAGTGTCCCAGGTAAAGGAGGCATTTTCCAATTGCTTTCTTAGGTTTCTTCTCCTCTGAACACCAGCCCATTTCATTATGAATTTCCAAGGAATGACTGCTAATGGAGAACGTTGTTACATTGAATTCAAGTATGTAATAACAATGCTACTCACAGACCATAGCAAGGTTAGGCATCACTTTCAAAACTACAGAATGAAGAACATTCAGAGTTCTAAAGTATAGATTCCATTCAGCAATAGAAGGAAACATCTGGACCATAAGCAAGACATTCAAAATAAGAAAACAAGCGACAAGTCCTAAAAAAAACCCCTAAATTCTATACACTTTATAACAATGCTAAGAAATAATAGTGATGAGACACAGAGGTTCTTATTTCTCACAAGAAATAAGAACATCAGAAGCAATAGAAACAATGGTTGGATATAGAAGAATAAAGGTGGTTGGGAGGTGTAACGCTATTAACAGAAAATCTAATTTTAAGTGAGGACTGGATATAGCAAAACTTTTCGAGAACAGAACAGAGTTTCTTCTGTATTTTTCCAGCTCACCCCGGCCAGCCGTGGGCAGTGAGAAGGAACTGGAAACAGGCTAAGGGGCAGAGGAAGGGGAGAGAGAACGTGGGGACAGTTCTCCGGCAGGTGAATTTCTTTTGAAAAGTATTTAGCAAATTATCAATTAACCTGGCGCCTCCTGTTTTAAAATTATCCACACAGAATAACAGAAGAGTCGCGACCCTTGAATGCGCCGGAGAGAGAGGTCCGGAGAGTTTTCAGATCCATAAATAATGGGATTGATTAAAAATAGGTCATCCAAATCAATCTAATTGCCTTCTATTTTTAATGTAAATCCTTTCCATTGATTTTTTTTAATGGATAGCCCATTAAAACACATTAATCATGACCCGAAGGGCAGAGTCGCTTGCAAAAAGCCTAAGGTGAAGAATAAAAAGCAATTTCCCACCACACGAAACTGAGGTGGGAACACCACGCAGCAGAGCTGGAGCCCTGCTTTTCCCAGGAAAAACCATTTCTGGGTAAAAGCTGGGCGGTGAGGTATCGTTATGATGAAACATTGCATGACAGAGTTCTAGGATGTCTGAGCCTCGCACGTCTCATTTGGGTGAGTGGTCTTCGATTTTGCGGAGCCAAGGTAAAAACACGTGGTCGGCTCTGCTGTGTTCTCATTGCATGAGTAACGCACACTGACAGTTGCAGAACACGTGTTCGTTCTAGGCAATGCAGCCGAGGAAAGCTAGCCCTAAAAGTAAGCCATCGTACTGGAAACGTTTTGGAAGAAACAGATCTTTACAGCATCCGATGGACACTTTCCAATGGCAAATACACGATACGCATGTCTGTCACCTCCATTACACTAAGAAGAAATCACACTTAAGATGACGATAAGTAAATACAGTTCTTCACAAAGTGCTGTCAGTGCCACACACGCAGATAAGCACCACCACTGACTCAACCTTCCTTCTCTCCGTGGACTTCATAAACGAGCTTCACCGAAGATCCCACCCCTAAATCCTCGCCGACACCTGGGCCACTCAGGGCAGATCTCAAAAAGCAGACTCCTTAAATAATGGATGAACGTGTTTTGTCAGCTTCGATGGACACCTTTTGGGAAGTTCACTCGTCGGTGGTCTCCCAGCCCCTCCGTTTCCTTCGGTCCCGGAGGGACGGAGGAGAGTGAACCCTGTTCTTGGGGGGCTTGCTGCTGGTGGGTGATCATCGCAGAGCCGCATTTCTGCTGTCACGTAGCGGTTTCTGGGTCAACGCTGGGACCGGCCAAAAACTGTGCTTCTCCAACCAGACAGGGGATGATGTAGCCACATCTTTCCAACATAAAAGTATGGGCATGGCAACTCTATGCAGAATAAATCCCCATTTATTATATAAAACTGTATAAAATCCAGGCATATTTTATGAGAGCAGACATTCGATAATTCCAGGGAGAAGTAGTTCCTATGTGCGCAATTTGAAAGGGCACTTGGATGGCTGAAAATTCTGGCCAGGCCAGCAGAGGGCGCTGTGCAGGCGCAGCCGGAAGTGGAGATTCTAAAGCAGCGCTGAGCACCCTCCCCGCGCAGGGCTACCCAAACCCGTGAGATCCCAGGTGCTGCACCTTCCAAGTCCACTGGCCAGGAAGGAGCTGACTTGCGATCCTTCCCTGTTACAGGGGGGCGGGAGTGGTAAGGAAGGAGTTCCCTAGGGAGTCTGGGTCACATGCTCAGGCTGCTAAGGCGTGTGTGAGGGAGGGGAGGGGTTGTAGAGAACGGGGTCAAGCTAGGAGCATCGCGCAGGGCTCCTTCCTTCGCTAGGCCACCGCTTTGGACCCTGGGTTGGGGAGAGCCAGAGAGGACTGGGACACCAGCAAACTTGAAGGATGAGGACCGGTGCACTGTCTTTGGCTGGCTCGGAGAGGATTAGCCCAAGCGTGCATGTTTTTCGACCTTCAATGAAAGGCAGGCGCTTGAGAAAATCTTCCCCCTGAATTTGCCTGTGAGCCCGGGAATACAGGCAGATCCTCGAGGTCGGTGAAGCCTGGAACCTGGGTGGTTTCCTAGAAGTAAGGACCAGGACCTGAGAGAGGCCAATTTGGAGAAGTGCCACAGTCACACTTTGTAGAGTCATACCAGAGACATTTGTCCAAGCCTTAAAAGAGAAGAAAAAGAAAATGTTATACAAGGCCTCACGTCTCCAAATGTGACTGGTACATGTTTGAAAACTAACCTGAGTGTGCAAACAGGGTGAAAGGAAGGGCACGCCCAACTTCTGAACCCTCCCCGGGAGGGAGGAGGTGGGGGGGAGGGGGACAAACAACTCAGCTTCTTTGTGAAAACTGGAAAAGCTCCAAACTGAATGTGTCGATTCTGTGGCCACTCGCAGCCCGGCCCTGGTTGCAGGCTGGGTTCTCCAGGTTGCAGAGTGGGACACAGCATGCAGGCCGTTCATTACCAAGTGCCCTTCTGCCAGGCACCTGTGGAAAGGAGAGAGGGAATCGAGGCTGGACAGATTGCAGCGGCAGCTTCCATGGACAGCTCAGGAGCATCAGGGTTGTCCCTCCACCACCCCCAGGCCCCCGGACTGAAACTCCCACCTGGATCTGCTTTTGCATTTGGCTGCCCCGGGGTCCCAGGACTGGAGGAGGGGCTCCTGCACCCGGGAAGGCACCTGCAGACAGCCCTCCCAGCCACGGGGCCCCCTTAAAGGTGGATCCGGGCAGCACATCTCTGAGTCCATCACCGTCCATTTCCCGGACGCTTACACCACAGGAGCCCCGAAGTTCTTCTCCCCGCCCTCTGCTCCCCTCATTTCTGCTGGGTGGCGTGATAGGGCTGGGGAGCAGGCTACCAGGAGGTCAACAGCCCCCTCTGGGAACCTAGTGGTGTTCCAAGTTATGCTCTTTAAAATGCTACAAAATTAGTATCAACAAAGAGGCCAAATACCCAATAAAAATATGTATGAAAAAAGTGTCACAGGAGGTTAAAAAAATTTTGTATTTTTCTGGATTCTGTGAAGTTTATGGTACTTTTCTCTAAATATATGTTCACTTTACCACCTCCTTTGGGGAGGGGTTGTTTTGGCTCTCATTTTATTTTATTTTTTAAAATTATTTTATTTTAAGTCCAGTTGTCTGCATTTACCCGCCCCCACCCCTGCCATCCCCACCTCCCTCCCCTGATTGCACCCAGCCCTTGGTTTTGACCATGTGTCCGTTATATTCATCCAAGTAGTTCCTTTGTATTAGTAATTTGGGGGGCTCTTTCTTGGCCCCGGCTCCTGTGACAGCTCCAGGAGCCGAGGAGGGTAGGGTGGCGCCCCCCAAGGGCTCAGAGAGACCTACGGTTGAGGTGCCCGCCTGCCCTGTGCACACCGGGGGAAACCGTACGTGATCCCCAGGATTCTCGCGCGGCCCTGTTTTTTATCAGAGGGACACCCGTGTAGTTACTGTGCGCATGCGCGGCGGCACACCCCAGTCCCCAGATGTGGGAACGGGGAGGATGCGGAAACTCCTTCGCGGATTGGTCGGGAGTAGAGCTCAATACTGGCTTTGAAAGATCCAATCAGAGCCCAGCTTCTGCACACCAGCCAATGGGAAACCCGAGGGTTGGACAGGAAGGGCGGAGTCACTATTTGAACCGGGCGCGGTTCTAAGACTCCCAGTCCTACTTTCCTGCGGGAGCCCAGGTTTGGAGGAGCGCGCGCCATGGAAAACGAGGTCTTAGGGGACGACGAGCTGCTGCAGAAGCTCAAGGACAGCCGCCGCCGCTTCCAGAGGCACATGCAACAGCTGCTCGAGAAGGTGCGGTCCCCACCAGCCTGCTGGCAGGGGCGCGAGGCCGGCGAAGCAGGGAAGGCAGGGCGGGGGGCTGGGGTGAGGAGGAAAGCCACGGGCAGGGGAGGTGGAGTTTGGGGCCGGGGGTAAGGAGAGAGGACGGCGAAGGTGGTCTTGGAAGTGCAGGGAGCAGGGAGGCGGGCTTGGCTGTCTGGGGGCAGGGGAGGAGTTGGGGAAGGAGTCTCTTCTCAGCTCTGGTCAGGGGCTTTGCCCCCTGGGACCCGACTTTACGCCCCTTTCTCTCCTGTAGTACAACCAGCCCTTCGAGGATGCCCCGGTGGTGCAAATGTCCACGCTGACCTACGAGACGCCCCAAGGTAGGGAATCATCCCCCTCCCTTTCGGAATATTCACGGCTATCTGCTTACTGTTTGGTGTTGCAAACCAACCTAAATTTCACGGCTTTTCTTTGGTAAATCCGAGGAAAGTCTGCACTGGGCGATGTCAGTTCTTCCCATTCAGCCCTGTAACCAACGTGTTATTACGAATGAAAGCCAAGCTCAGATCCAGTTCTGTGGTGGGCTGGATAAGACAGACACCAAAAGGTTCTTGAGACCTGCTCCTTCAATGAAGTCCTAGCTCTTTGCCTCTTGGCTGACCCGGCCATGCCTTGAGGGGAAAGCTTGCACAGGTGGAACTCAGGTGTGCTGCGGAGGACAGGACTTGGTAGTCATGGGCTCCCTGGCTTCCATTTAACGCTGTGGCTTAATGATGAAACTTGACCAGCTACTGCCCGATAGCTAGAGAGAGTCATCAACGATGGATTTTGGTCTAATCTTGATTTAAAAAAAAAAGAAAGAAAACACCTTCAGCCTCACAAAGATGAAAAACAACGGAAGATCAGAAATGTGGCCTGGTTTTAATAGTATAATGTCCCTTTGTCTGTCATTTGGGTTTCCTTTGAATGCAGATGGAACAGGAACTCAGTGCTGAGGATTATTTAAGTAATCGTTTTTATTTCGTTTCTTTTCCTCAGGATTGAGAGTTTGGGGTGGAAGGCTAGTAAAGAAGAAGGGCGAAGGCCACATCCAGGTACGTAAGGTCACGCGAGTGTTGCTGCCAGCGTGCCCCGTGCTGCGGGCGAAGGTGTGGGTGGCGTGTGACAGTCCCAGTCGCCTCTGGAGGTCACCGCGGGGCCCTCTTCCACGACGTTCTCACCGTAGCCACCCCGTCGTCTGCTTTTAAGGGTTTACTGAGAAGCGTTTCTCCTGTTGTCCATCAAGTGCAAGGAGGAGCTGCGTGATGCTTAAGCCCTTTCTGTCCCCCCCATGTCCCCTCTGCCATAGGCCGCGGGACTCTGCCAGCTGCCAGCTCTCCCAGTCGGGTTCTTACAGAAAAGACCAAATCCAGGTCCCTCTGGGAAAGGAGACGCCTCCTTTCCTCTCGGAAGGGCGGGGAGGAGATTAGGGAGAGGGGGTTGGACGCAGGCGCACGGTTCTTTCCTCCCGCGTGGCGCTGCCCTCCGAAGGCCTTTGCCCCGGGTGTACCCGCGGACGCCGCAGCTCTGCGGTCTGGTGTGTCCACAGAAGGTGCCGGTACCGCTGCCGCCCTGCCACACGGCCTCTCGCGGCAGTAACCTGCGCGAGGGCATCTGGTGTCTCTCGGTCCCTGCCAAGGAGACTGCCGAATGGGAACCTTGGGTTAGGGCTCCAAAGCAATGAACAGCAATTCAGAAGTCACATATTTCTTCCTGATGAACTGCTTTAATAACACTCGTAATACATTTCGTTGTAGGAGTGTTAGAAATCCATAACTGCATGCTTCAAATTGACCTGGCTTCTCTAGGTAGTCACTAGTGACGTTTCAGTATGAGGTGATTCCTGTTTATAATACACGTGTTTATAAGCGCCCATATTTTCTACCCTCTTTTATTGCACTGAATGTATATTGTGGACACTCCTTTAAAGCTGCTCTCTTCTCGGCAGGGTGTTTAGCTATTCGCACCTTCCTTTAGGTGCGAATAGATAAACACGTGTCCCGCAGGGGGCCACGTCATAGATAGTTCGGGCTTTGCTGGCCCTGGGGCTATCCGTCCTGTTTCATTTGCCGCCACACAAGGGCAGGGGCAGGCCCTTCGCCCGGGCCTTGGCCCCTCGCTCTGCCCGCCCCATCCCTCACCATCCGCGTGGGTTTCGAAGTAGCAGCCCTGGGCGCAGCCAGAGGAAGCAAGCTCATTTCCTTTCCAAGGGGAACCTCGGCCATGTACTGCAAGTTTGGAAGCCTTTTCCCCCAGAATGCACTAGAAGAGAAGCCTTGTGAGGCTCCTGTGCTCCCATAGGAGGCTTATTGCTTTTGGGGGGCTTTGAAGTGTCTGGTGACTGAAAAGACGGTGTCCTTGTCACCTTCCGCACGTCAAGGGCTCCGCGGAGGAGACGGCCAGCAGGATTGAGGGCCCCGTGCAATCCGCGGCTGGAGGGGACGGGCTGCCCGCGCCCAGCGCTCGGGACCTGGAACTGGGTGAGTGTGCCCTGGGCCAGAAGTCCAGGTTGCGGGGGGCTGGGCCTGCCGTGTCTCTGGGACAGCGTTTAAAGTCTAGGTTCCCCTGAGTGCGGTTTAAAAAGTAGAACGTCCTAGAGTGTCCTGTTGCTTCCCCCTGAGCGCCCCACAGGAGCTGGGTCACTCTCACGGAGACACTGGACGCATAAGCAGTCCTCAAATATTCTAAAATAATAACACACACCCCTCAACCCCACCCATTTTTAACTTTTGCAAAAAAAATTTAATTTCGAGACTTTATTAAGACCTAAGATTCGCTCTTGTAAGGTGGTGGCACGAACCACTGACTTCCTCAGAAGTCTCCCTTTCTCTTTCACGGTCCCACGGGGGCCTCCTGGTGGTGAAGCTTCCGGAAAGCCTGGCCTTGGCCTTCGTGGCACTGTGCCCTCCCTCTCCTTCCTCCTCAGCCCCCCCCCCCCCCACTTCACAGGGTGCCCTCCTGAGAGCTGGTCTGAGCCCCTCCCTGGGGCATGACCCCCACCCAGACCCTGTGTGGTGTGTTTAGCGGCCTCTCTTCTTAAATATGTTGTCTGAACTCCGTGCGTCTCAACTGAAAAAAAGGCAACACCCAGACCCGCCCTCAGCACAAGGCCCACACCACCCTCCCTGCGAGCGAGCCAGAAGTCCAGTGTCCCCTTTGTCTCGGCCCCTCCCCCCTCCTCACACCCATGGCGTCGCTGTCCTGCCCCCTCCGTCCCTCCATCTCCTGCTCCTCAACCCAAGCCCCCACACGCCCACAGTGTGGCCCCCGGGCTCCCTGCGCCCCACTGGCACCTTTGATCGGGGGGATCTGGGGGTCACGTGGCTTCCCTGCTCAGAAGCAGAGCCTCCAACACGCCAGACCTGAATTTCTGGATTTCCCGGGTGAGAGGCCCTTGGCGGCATTCGTTACAATGGTCGGCGAGACCAGTGGATCGGGTCGGAACCCGCTCGGGCCTGAGTGCTTTACACCCGGCCCCCCGCCTGGGGCAGCGGAGTAACCAACTCTTCAGTGATGGACCTGTCACAGGTCTGGCACACCGGCTCCCACTGACCCCGTGCAGCCTCCGTCCGCTCTGCCTAGCCCTCCCCGCCCCGCCTCCCCGGGCGGGCAGGACATGGTGAAGTCCTCAGGGGGAAACTGGTGGAGAGGCCTCACTGAGGTTGTGAACTCGTGGGTGTTACCTGTGTACCAGTGTCGATGCAAACACTCAACCCCGTGAATCCTGAGGTCCGTGAGTGTCCTGGACGGCCGGAAGTAACTAGAAATAGCTCTTCCAGAGCTGCGCCATCTCACTGGTAGTGCTGGCTACCTGTGGCCGTTCAGATTAATGGAAAATTAAATAAAACTTAAAATTCAGCTCCCTGGCCACACTGGCCACGTTCCAAGTGGCCGACAGCCACGTGTGGCTTGGAGCCGACACCTTGGCCGGTGGGTGGGGACCTGTGCGCCTTCACAGAAAGTTCCGTGGGTGCTGCTGGGCTCTGACTCGGCGTCTAGGACAGGAGGCGTGGAAAGAGCTAGAAATGACGTGAACGCTGTTCTCCCTGTCTGCACCACGAGAGGCAGGTCCCCTGCTGACGGGGCCTCCGCGTCTCGGTGCTCGGGGACCAACAGAGAGCTGTGTCGCTACTGCAGGGAGCACCTGCAAGCGACTTCTGGCAGCACGCGCAGGTGGCGCAGAAGCCGCCCTGGAGAGAAGCACACAAGCTTTCTCAAAAATCCTGATCGAAGTTTCGTTTTTCGCTTTTAGATTCGAAAAGCAGGGACGCCAATGTCACTCTACACCAGGAGGGTCTGGCTGCCGCAGTCTCGCTGGTAAGACCCGCCTCTGCCGTGAGGGGAGAAGCCGGGATTGGGGTGCAGGCCCACACCCCCTTACCGGCACCTTCCTCTTCCGAGACTCGCACTTTGCTAATCAATCCCCCCAAAGTCTTTGGTCCCCCCTTCAGGCCCCTGCACTGCAGGCCCCTTTCCTCCTCCGCCTGCCACTCAGCAGCCCTCACGAGCCAAGTTCAGGCCTGACAGAGCTGGCGCAGGCGCCGGGTGAGGTCCCCTCTGCACAGAGGGAAACGGCAGCTGCCACTCACCCCAGCCCGACCCACGGTGCTGAGAGCTGGGCTCTGAGCGGCCTTTCTCCGTGGGGCCCACGTTACCGGGCGGCGTTCTAGGGCATCTTCCCAGGTGGGCCCTGGGAAACCCACCGAGTCCCGTGGTCACAGAGCTCGGGCAGGCCGTCGCTCTGTCTCCCGGCAGCCCCTGGGCCCTGGGCACCACCTGTCTCCGTGGAAGACCTGCTTCTTGACTTCCCTTCCAGCTGGGATAGACGGGAACACACACACACACACACACACACATAGGCGGTGGAGCCCCTTCCCGGGTCGGGTACTGGAATAGCTAGCGTGTGGCTCTTCTCTGAAGTCACTCTTTCTATGCACGGGTTTGCTTGGGACGCTGGGTGTCTAACTACGAGATAAGGCGGTGACCTCGGGGAGGAGAGGGGGTCCCTGGGAATGTCGTGCAGGGATGGTGGCGACGTGGGGAAGCAGGCAGCCCCGTGGTCGGGCACACTGAACAGTGCCCGTCCGTGTCGCCCCCACCTGTGTCCCCAGACCCGGCCTCGCCCCACTCGGCTGCAGAGAGTGGGGGCGTGCGGCGGCAGAGAGAGAGGTTACGGCTCCCGCCGCCCGAGCTGGAGCGCTGCGCTTCTTTCTCCTAAAACGTGCAGACCGGGGTCGGGGTTAGTTAGCAGCGGAGTCCCAGGCACACCTGAGGGTATTCGGGCTGTCTTACTCCTTTTTCTGCCCTCGTAGTGCTGCCATACACCTCTGCGGACTTGCATTTCTTGTCTTGTTCCTCTCTCGGCCTGTGGCCACCGGTACGCGCCCTGTGGTCAGAGTCCCGGCCAGGTGGGCTTGCAGAGGCACTGGACCTCTTTGTGCGGGTGCCAGCAGGGAGCGAAGGGGTGGCTTTCAGGAACTTCATCTAAAGAGCTGCCCAGTCATGAGGTTGCCAGACTGTTCCGGCAGCCAAGCGCGCACCCACCCCCAAACACTCTTAAGTGCGCTGGCCTCTCCCGTCTCAGGCTGCAGCGCCCTGGAGCCCTCTGAAGGACGAGCTGAGGAGGAAGTACCTGAGCCAGGCGGACGCGCTGCTGCCGGACGCGGAGGTAACCCCTCCCCCGCGTGCGTCCCTGTGTCGCTGAGCGCGGACTAGGGACGTGCCCAGGCGCGGTGCAGCCCCGCTTTCGCCCTGTCCCCGCGGAGCCTGCGAAGAGCGTGCTGAGCGGTGGTGCCCCGGCCCTTCCGCGTGCGAGCCCGCAGACGGCTCCTCGGGGAGCTGGCGGCTGTGCCTGCCGTGGCCTCCTGCGTCCCACTGTGTCCTGGGGTGGCCTGGAAATCCAGGGGTGCCCCACCCTTGGATGGAGGGGTTCTAAGCCCTGCGAGAGGTGGCCCCTCTTCCCAGGGTCCGTGCCCCCCAAGTTCCACTGCAGCCTGTATCCCGGAGCTTTGCCGGAAGAAGGTCCAGGCAGGTGCCAGCTCTGGTGTTCCAGGCTGGAGTGAGGAGCTCGTCTCGAAGGCAGCCGGCCTCACGGGAACGTGTGTGTGTCCTGCGTGTGCCGAGTGTGAGGGCCGTGTGCGTTGGTGCGCGCCAGAAACGCCCTTTGCCTTTGTCCTGAAGCAGCAGGTGTGGCCCCCCGGCCCGAGGGCGTCCCGGAGGCCACCTGGACACAAAGGCCCCTGGGTTTCCTAAGACACCCCTTCCCACCACTGCTGTCCACTGTCCTCGCGCCCACGCTTGTCCCTGCTGCCGCCGAGCTCAGACCTGCAGTCCCCTCCCACAGCCTGCGCGGTGGCGTCGGGGCGACCCTCTTCCTGCGCCCGGAGCCGGCCGCCGGCATCTCCTTAACACCGCTTGCTTCGATTTCAGTGCGACGACTGTGGAGGTGGAGACGACACGCGTGTGACCCTGGTCTCGCCTCCCAGACCTGCCCACGGTGAGTGTGACAGAGTGAGTGTGACAGGCTGCTCGAGCCGAGCCCCACCCACCCCAGGGTGCACCCCCATCTGCGGTGCAGACCGGCAGCGTGCGCTGTGAGAGACGCCTGCACGGCGCAGGTCACACGTACACGTATGTGTTTGCGACTTTGTGTCAGGGTCCCCCAGCCTTCCCGTCACCGGCGCCATCGCTGTCCTATCCCTGACTCGCAGCAGTCCTGCTTTTCCAGCGGCCAGCGGTTCTGCAGCATGTCCCTCGGCCTGGGCTTGTCTGGCTGTCTCCTCGTGGCGAGGTCCGCATTAACCATGTTTGGCAGACGATCCGCTTGGACGACATGTGTCTGCTGGGGACGTCTGTCCTGTTGTTGGTGACTCCAGTCTGGCTGCGTGGATCCGGGAGGGCCCGCAGAGGTCTCCCTGCGACAGTCCCTTTTCCTCAGAGGCACCCGTGGGCGCACCCTGGACATTGCCCGGGCTCGTGTTCCCCGGAACCCCTCTCCCGTGCCCCGGCCTCTGGGCACCGCTGCCGCCGCCTGAGCGGGCGTCCACGGCCGGGCCTCCTCCGGTTCCGCGCTCCCTCTGCAGGCCCTGGCTGGCCCCTTCTCTGCAGGACAGCTGTCCGTCCCGCCGGCTCTCCTCACCCCTCTGCAGTCGGTGAGGGCTCCCGGGCTGTTTTCCTTCTTTAATTCCACGTTAGAATGCACAGCCAGTGCTCGGTTTGATGCCCACCTCGTCCTGGATGCAGCCGGGACCGGCCCCTTTCACGCTGGCCTCGTGTCCTCTGACCTGCCCCCAGCGGTTTCTGAGCGCTGTGTCCCCCAGCCCTGACTTCACAGCCTCCCCCGCCCCCACCCCCGAGTGACACAGGCGTGTTGGCCAGCAGTGAGGCGCAGAACCGGGGCCCCTGTCCGTGCTCCGCGCGGCGGTCTGCTGGAAAAGCTTCCCGGTCTCCGAGCGGCGGGCGGCGTCCACCCTTCCCGCCGAGGGAGCACCTTCAGGGGCCCGTGTGCAAAGTTGTTTGGATGTTGTCTTCTCATTCGTTCATTGTCAGTGTGGTATACACGTAGGGTCATTTTTTTCTGTCTGTGTTTGAGAATGATCCCCATCTCTGGTGCTTTGACTTTATCGTTTTTCTATATAAAACATCGGACAGCGTGCGAAGGTCAAAGCCCTCTGAAGGGATGTGTCCAGGTCTCTCGTTCTTGCTGCCCTCTCTGTAGACAAACAGCATCTCTCTTTTCTGGGTCCTAGTTAGTCTCTGAAAAGGCCACCAGGTTCTAAACCATCCCGTGGGGAAGGAAGACTCTTTTGGGGAAGTTTTGTGCAGAGTAGACATTTAATTTTTATAGCTAGCCAGAAATCTCTGAGAAGCGATTTCCCAGACATGTGTGAGGTTTTCCTTTGTCTCCCGCAATGCCCTGAGAAAGCCACCGGGGTCATGCCCCACCCTCCAGCCCCGTGACCTCCGTGTGCGGCCAGGCTGAAGTGCGGACGCGCCCTCCCTGCGTGCTCTCCTCCAGGCCGCCGTGGCCACTGTGGCCGCGTCTCCGGAGGTCTCACCTTGAGCCAACTGCGTCTTCATGCCCTCTCTCCACAGACATGACCGTGGTGCTCAGAGATGACAGCGTGTCCTGGCGAGAGACCAGTGGTCACAGCTTCTCCAGCAGCCAGTCCTTTGCGGCTGCCGACGACGACGACGACGACCTCTGCAACGTGACCGTCAGCGACCTGTACGCGGGCATGCTGCGCTCCATGAGCCGGCTGCTGAGCGCCAGGTCCTCGTGCGTCATCTCCACCAAGACCTTCATCGTCCGGGCCCGCGCCTCCCGGCGGAGGCCCCGGGGCAAGAGCAGGGCGGATAGGACGTACTGCCGGGGCAGCAGGCCCCCCTGCAGCGGTCCCCGGGAGAGGCCCGGGCCCCAGCCTGAGCCCGGGAGAGGGGCCGTCGCCCTGAGAGAGTGCCAGAACTTCCAAGGCCTTGCTGGCCAGGGGGCGGGATTAACATTGGGAAAAGCTTCTTTTGAAGGGAACAAACTCCAGATCTGGAAGGAGCTTAAGAGGACACCCCAGAAGCTGTCTTCGTGGCCTCACAGAGACGGCAGTGCCGTGTATCTGGCTCCCAGGGGCCCCCGCCTCGATCAGGAAAATCGGTTGATGACACTACAGTGGTTAATTTCTCCTGTGAAAATCCTTCCCAGACCGAGAGGACTGCAGGGCGAGGGAGGGGGCCATCCCGGGGACCTCCGAAGCAGGTTTGACAAACTCTATCAGGAATACTGTCTAAGCCCCAGGAAGCAGCCGTGCCTGACCTACCCGCCCAGCTCCTCTGGGGTCCGCGTGCACAGGGGGGTTTCAGGGAGCCCCGGCGGCCCCTGGGAATCGGAAACCCACCGGCCGAGTAGACCTTTCAGCAGAGCCAAAGCCAAGAGTCTGAATGAAGCTTTCGAAACCCTCAGTCAACAAGCTCTGGAAGCAGGAAGGGGGCTGCCGCAAGGTGCTTCCCCTCCGCCCCTTCCGAAGACCGAGCCATCGGGCCGCTGGAAGCCACCGTCAGCCAGTCTTCTTCAAGGAAATGGCCTCGGGACATTTAGGAAGTCCGCGTCACTCAGCAGAGCTTTCTCAGTCCCCGGGGTGCAGCCCCTGGGCCCTGCGAGAGACCACTACGACGAGATTAAGGAGAGATTTGACCGGCTGCACCGCAAGTATTGCCGGGCATCGGCTCCGGGGACGGAGGCATCCTTCTGTCCCGGGGCGCCTCCAGGTACAGCCCGTGTGCAAGTTCAGAGTCAGAAAGCCTTCTCAGGAAAATTAAATCCGGACTCTGGCTCCCAGGGGCCCCCGAAGTTGCCGCCGCCGTCACCCCGGCACAGCGTAAGAAGTCCGCTGGGCCCGGGCACAGCTGAGGTCCGCCCGCCCCCGTGGTCAGCGCCGGCGGCCGGGTGCAGCTCCTCCCCCCAGGCGAAGAGACTGCGGCTGTCCGACCCGCGGGCGTGTGGAAGGGGGGCCGACGGCCGGGGTCCCTGTCGCACGGTGGGCGGGGCCGCCCCGGGGCCCAGGGAAGAGGCCCACGGGGAGAAAAGGTGAGTTTTTTTCTGAATGTGGCTGTTTCACAGCGACGTCCTTCTGTTCGTGTTTTCAAAAATCTCCCCCAGACTCCGTCGCTTGGCGTGGAGCCCGCGTCCAAGGTCGGACGCGGCGAGGCGGGGCTGGGAGCACGCCCAGCGGAAAGGTTTCACACGGTGCCCGGGGGACGCGTCACTTCTGCCTCGTCCCTCCGTCAGGCCGCCGTGTCCTGCCTCTTGGCCACACCCTCAGGAGGTCACCTGTGTGCGGCGATGCTGGTCTGGAGCCGGGACTGCCCGTCCACTCCTGGGCTTCCCGGCCGGGCCCCAGCACTGGCGCTGCCGCTGGCCCCTCGTCCCAGTGCCCCCACGCCTCCCCCCCAGCCGGTCTGTGCAGCCACTTAGACTGAAGTTCAGTGTGCTGCTGGCACCACTCCATTTTCTCCGCAGACAGGCGTGGGGGGGTGGGGGCAGGGGCAGGTCGGTGTGCCGCTGCAGGCCACCACACCCGGCCGGGTTTCCACGTGGACCCCGCCGCTGCTCCGCCTGCGGCCACTGCTGCGCCAGCACCAGCGGCCGGGGCTAGACGCGAGTCTCGTCTGGAGGTTTGGGATTTCGCATGTTGGGGGTGTGGGCAGGGCGGGTCCCGGTAAAACTTCCTCTTCTCTTCTCGCCCTGCCACGTGGGTGGCCCCTCAGCGGCCGTTCAGGCGGACCCCACCCTCGCCCCAGGTGTCTCATTTTCTCTCTCCCCACGTCCGCCTGGCGGTCCTGCCTGCGGCCCCTCTCGGGGAACCATGTGTTTCCTCTCGGAGGTGTGCCCTTCCTCCCTCCACCTGCGTCGTCACCATCGTCACCCCTCGGGTCCCCGTGGGCCCCCTTGGGCCCTTCCCTGCCCTGGCCCACTAGTGCCTCTCAGCGTCCACACCCATGTGGCCTCCCCTCCCAAGACACGTTTCCAAAGCCTGGGTGCGCCGGCTCCCGATGGGACCGGGTGCCGTGGATGTGGAAACGACCGCTCCTCCCCGAGCGATCGATCCCAGGGCCCGGCCCGGCCCCTTCTGTCCCTCCAGCGTGGGACTGCGGTCCAGGCTCCCTTTCCCTCGTGCTTCCACTTGCTCCTGCGGCCCTGGCTCCTTGGCCTGCGTGCGGCCTGATGCACGAGCGCTCTGTGACCAGCGCCCCATCCGGCCAGCACCCGGGCTCCTCCGGGGCCGCCCTGTCCGGTGCTGCCTGATGACAGCCCCCTCCCCGCCCCAGCGGAGCTCCAGTGTTTTCCCTCGAACCCCGAACCCCCTGCCCTGGCTCGCCCCCCCACCCGTGCTCTGCAGCACCCCCTCTGCGGGGCGCTGTCTGGGCACGGGCACACCCTCCAGGTTGGTGGCGCAGACTCCCCGGCTCAGTTCCAGAGGCTCCCATTGGTTTTATGTTTGGCATCCGCTGCTGTGCGCAAAACCGCGTGTGAGCGACCCAGAAGCAGGTTGAACGGACCCACACTGTGACCTGTGTTCTCGGCGCCGGTGACCTGAGCGTTCAGATGATGTGGATGGTTTCCCCGCGCAGGACACCTCCCGGGTGTTAGGGACCTTCCGGGAGACCCAGAGGGGCGCAGGGAGAGTCGGCGGCCGGGGACAGCCAGGCCTGGGGGCGGCCATGCCCCAGAAGGCACTGCTGGGGCCAGGCCTCGGCCGAACTCAGGGGGCTTTCTCCCTCACTGTCTGCGTCTTCCCTTGTGCCGGGACCCCAGGCCCACCCTGGACTTTCAGACCAGGCTGCTGGCAGGGGGACTGTGTCCTGCGAGACTGAGGCTTTCACCGTCCAGCCACGTGCCCGAGGCCAACACTGCAGGAGTGCGGAGCCCACCCACCTTGTGGGCTCTCCCAGGTCACCTCTCGTCCCCCAGGAGCACCCTTCTCAGCGGAAAGGGTGCATCTCACCAAAGATGGCGGCTGGACCTCTCCCAGCCCCTGACACGTCAGGGCCCCTGTCCTGCTGTCCCTACTTGTCTGTACCCCTGCACCTACACCTCTTCTCCAGCCGCTGCCCTCCTGATGTCTCCCCTCTTCTGGGCCTTCCCCACCGCCTCTCTTGGTCTGCTCACGCCGCTCACCTCTCCGGCGCCTGCTGACTCAGCCCCGGAGCGGAGCGTGGCGGGTCACTGCCCTCCTGGGTCCACACCACCCTCTGGATGCCCAGCGCGGCGGCCGCGCCGGGGCCTGGCCATAAAGGGACCGAGAGGAGAGCCCGGCCCGGCGGCCCCTGGGCCCTCCCAGCTCCCCTGGAGTTTGACAGGCTCCACCGCTGGAGGCCTTTGCAGTTTCATCTTCAACCACAATTAAACATATTTGATCGTTTTCCTTTTTTTCTTCTTCTAACTTGTACATTTCTTGAGGACAGGGGCCAAATCCTTGTGAGCTGTGACTACAGGGGGCATTTTCGTGGCTGGTACCTGCGTGCTCAGCTCGCCAGGCCACGGCGACCCCTCGGTCCCCTCCCCTGACCCCCCGTGACCCTCTGACCGGGCAGTCTCTGCCCCTTCACGTGGTTAACGAGGACGTTCAGCTTCAGTCGTCCAGCCGCTGAACCTGCGCAGGTGTGCGTAGCTGCACGGGACGGCGGGGCCCACCCGCTACCCAGCAGTGTGTGCTGCTGGCTTAGCGGTTTCTGTCGGTTTCGTTGTTGTTGTCTTCGGGGTTCTTTTGGTTTGGGGGTGTTTTTTCATTCCGTAGGGTAGTGTAAAGCACGGTGGCACTGTCTGTAGAGGACACGCTGGTATTTATGTACATAGACACTGAATAAATACAAAGCATTTAAGCTCTTGGCATTGGGAATTCTAGTCGAATTTCACTGAAATCATGTTCGTTGTCTTTTTTTTTCTAGGGAAAAGAAGAGCATGTCCTTCAGGATGGAAGATCGGTGATTTTGTGTTAGAAAACTCGAAGCTAAACATCTGTAGTCAACTTATTTTACAGAGTGTTTTCCCTCTTCCCTCTTATTCTGTGTGTGTGTGTGTGTGTGTGTGTGTGTTTCATTCTCAAGAATATGTTAGAGCTCGCTTCAGTTTTCTGCCCTTCAAAGCAAATCTCAGTGGAATCGGTTTCGTTGAGACGCATCCGAGTTCTTGGTGACCAAATTATTGGAATAAAGTAGTGCGATTAGAAGTGTTAATGTTACGCTTTAGAGAGCTATTTTGCTCATGTTTTCTGTGCTAATTTTAGACATGCGTGTGTATTTCCCATCTCCCTAGAGAAACTGTTTTGCTGTGAAGCCAAAGTTGAAAAATGTAGCCGCTTGGTCTTTTACGTTCAGACCCGTGGGACTTGGTGCCTTCCAGATCAGGAGGCTGCAAACTGCAACATCACTCGCCCATAAAAAGTCATTTTCTGGTTCTTAGGGGAAAGCGGGCTGCATTCCCACAGCCCCGGGACAGTCCCCGAGCGTGCTGGCAGCCGCACGGCGCCCATGCCGCCTCGGGACCCTTCCTGGCGGAGCGTCTCCAGCAGTGGAATGTTTTCGGGTGTTCAGGGCGCAGCGACCAAGCCCACACCGAGTGATTGTTTTATTGCCACGTGTTGCAGGGTTTTTTATTTTAAATAAAGATTCCAGATAAGATGACACGTCTCCCTTCCCATCCCCCCGCCCCCGCCAGGCTGTCGCTGTCCTGAGAACCGTGGTCCTTTCCCAGCCACATCTCTGTGCTGGGGCCATGCGACCCGTGTGCGTGTGTGTGTGTGTGTGTGTGTGTGTGGGCTCAGGCTCCATCACCAAGTCCCACGGGCTGGGCGGCTCACGCCACAGGTGTTTACTTCTCCCGTGCTGGAGGCCGGGAGGCCGAGCCCCGGCTGCCCCCATGGCCCGGTTCTGGCGAGGACTCGTCCCGGCTGGCAGACGGGGCCTCCTTGCTGCCCGCCCTCGAGTGGCAGGTGCCGGCAGCCCCTGTAAGGCACTGATCCCACCACCGTAAAGGCCCATCTCGGCTCCCCTCACGCTGGGGTTAGAGCTTCCATGTGGGAATCAGTCCGGGGGGCCGGAGGGGGCCTGGCCAGTCCCAAGCCTGTGAATCAGGGGGAAGGCTGGCGGGGCTGCTGGCTCAGGCTTGGCCGAGGCTGCAACTCTAGTCTCTTTATCGGGAAGACTGTCACTCCTGCCCCAAACTGCCTGTGCCTTGCCTGGCCCCCAACCCGTGGCCCAGCCCACGTGTGCTAAGGTCTCCAGCCACCCTCGCCGCCAGGGAGCCTGGAAATGCGGGGTTTCAATGCCCTCTACCGTCCAGCAGGGGGCGGTGAGGTGGCAGGGACTCTGAGCCGGCATGTAGGCTGTGCAGGTGACAGCCAGTAAACTATAGGATGCTGCCCTCTGGTGGGTGTGACATTCGGCTGGTGGACGCCTCCTTCCCCTGTTGGAGTGGGTCCCCCCGGGTGCAGAGGCTGCCTGGAGACCCGCTCCCCAGCACGGCCATGGGCAGTGGGCACCATCAGCATGGACAGACGAGGCAGAGGTGCCAGCGAAGACGCCAAGGCGCATCCTGGCCCTGGGGTGCCGTCCCCTTACAGCCCGGAGCCTGCACTCCACGTGACGATAGAGGTTTATTTCAGGGGGAAGGAAGGGACACCGATTATCTCAGAACAACGCTTTCCTCACAAACTACTGGGAGTTCCCGCGGTCCGCCCAGCGGTGGGCAGGGGGGGGGGCAGTGTGTGGCTTCCATCCCGGCCACCTAGGAGACGCCCTCGGTGGGGGTGGAAAGCCGGTGCTGACTGCAGGTGTCCAGGATTTGGAGGGTGTCCATCGCAGCCCTCCGGACCCCAGGGTCCGAGTCCAGCTGGAGTTCCTGGAGAGCTGCGGGGGAGATGAACCGGAGGATCAGCACCCCGGGGGGCTGGCTGCACCCCCTCTGGCCTGCGCCTCTGCCCGCCAAGGCTGGGGGAGCCAGCGATGGGACAGGGGCTGCAGGCATGGAGGCCCTGGGCTCGAAGCCAGCAGGCGGCCCGTGGAGCTATGTCTTCACGCACATCTCCCGTCGCACGGGGCCTCCCTTGTGACACAGGGATGGAGGGATCCCCCAGAACCCGGTTGCCACCTCGATCAGCTGGAGGAACCAGGGCAGAAGCATTTCATAAATGTGCGTGAAGGGGAAGGGGACACAGGCGAGGGAACAAAGGGACATGCCCCCCCCAAAGAGGGTTGTCTTCCTTGGAAAGCCCTCTGCAGCAGGGCCACCCATCTCTGTGCCCTGGTTACAAAATCAACTCCCCCCCCCAAAAAGCCCCAGGCACAGGTGAGCGGGCAGCCCCCTCGGCGTCCCACTGAGCTCCGCAGGTGCAATGGGGTCTCCACGACTTACAGTTCCGCAGCGCCACGAAGTCCAGCTTCTTCAGGTAGTGCTCAGACATCTGCTTCACAAGGATCCCTAAAGGGCGGCCGGAGGAGGGCTCACCACCCACAGCAGGCCCGCCCGGGGCCCGGCTCTACCTTGTGAGGGGTCCGCTCAGGACGCCTCGCTGACAGTCGGGCAGGTGCGCGGCAGCGGCACGGTGAGCAGGAGGCCCAGAGGGGACTCCCACCCGAGCTCGGGCCCCGACACCTGTCCCCGGCCCCTCCCGCCCCAGGTCTGACCCTCCAGCCACCCAGGGCCCTCCGGCATCAGGGCACGTTGGCCCCCTCACCTGCCAGGTTGCAGGAAGCCATTCTGATCCTGGACAAGTTACTCTTAATATAGGTCATTGTTTCCAGCAAGAAACCGTAGAGGACAGCCGGCTTCTTCTGAGTCTGCGGGAAAACGAGGGGCCACGGGGCCGCGGAGGCTGAGGTCCGGGGGCCGGGCTGCTCACGCGGCTGCGCAGCCCACCTGCCTGACGTGGGGGGTTCGCCCCCAGAGAGGGCTGGTGCCCGCTCCCGCGTCACACAGCAGACTGGAAACCGGGCGAGCCGCAGCCCCCAACCACGCTCCCGTCTGACCCAGAGAAGGGCCCTGTGTTCGTCGCAGGCGGTCCGGTACAGAAGCCGACGGCCACGGGTGGTCCTTATGCAACGGAGACGGGACCAGCCTGGATTAACAGCTTTTATGTGGATTACTTGTTGAAATGAGAATGATTTGGACCGTCTGGGTTCAATAAAACCTATGATTAAATGTGGTTTCATCTTTTTTCACTTTTCTTTTTTTATTTTGTCCCTGGAATTTTTAAAATTTTTATTTTAATCATTGTTCAAGTACAGTTTTCTCCCTTTTTTTTTTTTTTTCACTTTTCTTAACGCAGGTATTAGCAAACTTAAAAACGGGCATGCGGCTGGCGGTCATTTCTGTCGGACGGTGCTGGCCTGCACCCGTCCCGTCTGGGGGGTGAACACGGGGTCACGAGACAGGCCCCCAGGACCACTGAGACCCTAAGCCCCAGGCCACTGGGCAGCCGCCTGCAGCAGGCCGGCCACCCTCGGGGTCCTCACCAGGACAGAGCACAGCGTCATCTGGAGAGCGGCCGCCGTCTCATCTGCCCCGCGGCCGGCCCTTCGCAGCAGGGAGTCTTCCAGGGCCTTGCAGCCCCAGAAGTGCGCGCACTGACACATGGTCTCCAGGCAGGCCTGCGGGGACACGGGGCAGGACAGCGGGAGCCGTGTCGGGCGCAGGCAGGGTTCCCACGAGGGGCGGGGCCTGTGGGCGGGGCTGGCCGGCGGGCAGGCTGCCCAGAAAGCAGGAGGGCGGCTGGTGGGCGGATCCCTGGGCCGGCCCCTGGGACCAGAGCCCCGCCCCCCACCAGGTCTCTCGGCTGAGTGCGCATTCCCCAAAAGCCCCTTGGGGATAGATGTGGCCCACTTGCCCCCTCAACAGCCCTGCCAGGGACGTGCCCTTCCAGGGCATCGGGCCAGGGCCTGACTGGGGTTGGCAGGACCTGGGTGAGCCCTTTCACCCCCCAAACGCCCTGCACCCAGCTCCTCCCGCCCCTAAATGCTGCACCAGCTGGGCTTTGGGGTTCTGGCCGCCAGTGGCGTCAGGTCCCGGGACAGTGCCCAGAGGGGACTGGAGGGCAGGTGCAGAGAGAGGCTGGGCATCTGCCCCCCGCCCCCAGGGGTAGCAGTGGCAGCAGCCTCGGCTGGGCTAGTCCCTGGCCCTCCCCGTCCCACGCTGGTCCCTGGGGCCTGTCCTCTTTGTGGCTCCTTCGTGTGAAATCACAGTGGGAGCCCCGGACAGAGGGAGGTGGAAGCTGTCTCCGAGAGGTGACGCTTCGTGCTCTGGGCCACCAGTGTCCCCAAGGCAGAGCCCAGGCAGGGAGGCAGGATGAGGGCTAAGCCAACCGTCGGGGGGAGGGGGTGCGGCGGGACTCCCCTCACCTGCCTGAGGATGCCTCGCGACCTCCCCCGCCCCACGTGCAGCCCTCACAGCAGCGGGACTGAGGGGCCTTGGGACCCCAGGTCTGGGGACTAAGGACCCAGTTAGAAATGAGCTGTTGAGGACCCCTCGTTCGCAGCCAGCGGTATCCCCACAACTGTATCTGCCCCCTGTGTTCTGCAGACCAGCCCTCATCCCAGCTGCCGGTCCACCGCCTTCTCCCCAGTCCATACAGGAGGACAGGGAGGGAGAAGACAGAGGTCAGGGTCGTGGGCCGTGTGTGAGTGACAGGTACCTACACGGGTGTCCCCAGCCAGCCGGCGCCGGCCTGAGAGGCAGCAGTTAGACTGGGAGCCAGGTCCCTGGGGCCCCTCCCTCCTTCCACCCAAAGCATCAGAGGGGCTGGGACTCGGGAGGGAGGGGAACTGGGTGCAGAGCCCCTCCCCCACAAGCCTGCCCCTGGGGCGCGGGCGAGGGCAGGTCTGGGTGAGTTTCCACCGTGACTGACGAACGCTAGCACCCAACAGCGAATCTGGCAGAAGAAAGGGCAGTCGGTGGGGGTAGCTGGGGAGGACGGACACTCAGCCCCCACGAAGCCGAGACTCCTGCATAAGGCGGTGTGTGGTCACCCTGAAGGGTCCCTTTCCCCGGTCCGGCATGTGGCCCCCGGGCTCGTGAGTGGGGCCGGACGGGAAAGGGCAGACGGACCCGGGGTTGGTGGGGTAGGTGGGGGAGCCCACGGGTGGCTGAGCCGGTGGACCCAGAAAACATTTCCCCTTTGGGGGAGAGCGGGCCCCGACTCGGGGGCCCGAGGCCGGGGGAGCGCCTTACCTGGGCTGCGTCAGGGCAGGGGTCCTGGCAGTGCAGCAGGAGGAGGACCCAGGCCTTCCTCACCTCCTCCTTGAAGAAGTGCTTCTTGGAGATCCTGACCACCTTGGCCAGCGCGCCGAAGAGGCGGAAGGCCCGCAAGCGTAGCAGCTCACTCTCCTGCGGCCGGGACGCACGCACGGGGTGGCTCTGGAGCTCGGGGAACCACCGGCCCGGCAGAGCCCCAGCCACGCCCCAGCCAAAGCCCTTTCTGATGCCCCGGCCCCGGCGAAGGCTCCCGGACCGCCCGGCCAGGACGGAGGCTGCCCTGCAGGGCTCCCGGGCGGGGCCTCTGCCTCCCAGAGGAAGGCTGTGCGGAGTCTGCCCCACACAGTGCCCCTTGGGGTTCCCACCCCGCCCATCACGCCGGTCATCGGGGCCCCGAGAGCTGCCCCTGCGGGCTGCAAGGAATCGGAAGGGAAAGCTCATCCCCTAGTAGCAGGGAGAAGGGCCCTGTGAGCATTGTAAGACGCGTGCGTGTTTGTTTGTTTGTTTGTTTTTTACAGGATCCCACCATCGGCCAATCAACACACCAGCATCAGGCGGGACCTGCCTCCCTGCCTGCTCTAGGGAGGCATCTGAGGCGCCCCCTGAGGGCCTGGGCCCAGGGAGGCTTCCGTCCAACTCACGTTGTCGAAGAAGGACCTGCACTGCTCGGAGATGGCGTCGAAGAAGGACCCCAGGTCCCCTTCTCGGAGCTCAGCCAGGATCTTGGCCAGGGCCTCCATGCCCGCACAGGGCACGCTGGCGCCGCTGCCCACGCCCCGCAGGGCGCACAGACAGGTCTCCAGGAGCAGCTTCCGGTAATGCCTCACCTGGAGGGCGGGAGGGGGGCGCGGCCAGCCGTCAGCTGCAGGGCTGGCCTCCGCGTGACCGGGACGCTGCAGCACCCGGGCCCTCAGCCCCCCGGGGCCCTGCGTCCTGGGCCCGGGGGGTTCAAGGGCGCAGCACCTTCCTGGGGGCGCCCAGGGCCATGTTGCCCAGGGCACGCAGGGACAGCACCCGCAGGACCTCGTCCCTCTGGCGCACGCCCTGCTCCAGCAGCAGCACGGCCGGCTTCAGCAGCTTCTCCTGGTACAGAATTGGGTCTCTCATGAACTGGAAAGGAGAACTCGTTGCCGTTACCCCCGAGAGAGGCCCGTTTCCGGGCCACAGGCGGGGTGTGTGCACTATTCAGTGCACAGAATGGTCTCCCCGTGACTGGGGGCGGGATTCGAAGCCCCTGCCCCTGAAATCAGTCCCCCAAGAGAGCTGGGGGGCCGCCCACCCTTCCTCCCCAGCCCGCCCGCGCCCCCCCCCCCCCGCCAGCGGCCAGCCCCGCGCCTCACTTCCACGCAGATGGCTGTGCTGCTGATGCGGCAGCTGGGGGCCTCCAAGGCCATGCCCCTGAGCACCAGCTCCGACAGCCTCTGCCGGGAGCCCTCCGCGTTCTGGATGCACAGCCTGTGGGCGGGGACCACAGCCCACCAGGCGGGGAGGGCGTCTCAGCTGCTGCCCACCCGAGCCGCTGGGGAGCTGGGCGCCTGTGGGCGGGGCTGACGCCGCGGGGCCGCTCCCTCCCCACCAGGGGGCGTCGCTGAAGCACCTACTCTCTATCATCTCGTTACAAAAAGAGTTCCGACGAGGGCTGCTCCTGGGGGACCAGGACCCGGGACTCTCCCGTCCCAGCCCTGCTCTGAAGCCCGTGTGACCTTGGCCACGCCCAGCAGCCTCCAACCTCCCAGCTGCTGCTCTGGAGCGTGAAGGGCTGGAAGGAAGGGTTCCCTGTGCCTCTCTGCTTGCTCCCACCATCCCAAAGGCGTTCCGCCGTCACCTAGACCTTCCGCGGGTCGCGCTGCCCGCCGCCACCGCCGCCGCCGTGGGAGCCGGGGTGCCCACCTGGCCAGCAGGCCCGCTCCCTGCAGGAAGGTCGAGCTGCTGCCCAGCAGGGCCCACACGCCCTGCTCTTCCAGGGTGCGCACCAGGTGCTCGCTGCTGAGTCTCCGGAACAAAAGCTTCATGGATTTGACTGTGACCCTGGAAGGAGGCGGGACCGTGTCACGGCGTGGCGGCACCCACGGCACCTCAGAGGGGCGAGCACAGCACCCGGGTCTGTGACACGGGCTCCCGACACCTGCTGGGCCTCGCTCGGGGGGCTACGACTGGTATGTCCTGCGCTGGACACCGGGGAGGGAGGGCTGTCAGTGAGATCGGCCTCCAGAGACTTCTCCTCCCCGCCAGGAGGGGGCGACGAGGGCCTCTCGGTGGAGGGGGCTGGAGGCCACGCCCCGCCCACCCGGGGTCCTGGAGGGCACCTCTGCGGATTGATCTCCTCGGGCAGTGTGCCCGTGCGGATGAGTCTCCACGTCTTCAGGACGGGAGACGCAGCCTCGGGCCCCTGGCTGCCGCCGAGCTGCAGCAGGAGGGTGTAGACCAGGTCCGGGAAGAGGTCCCGGAGCGGCTCCTCCTTGTCCACCTTCTCGATGAGGAGCTGCATGGTGCAGAGGATCTGCAGAGAGGGGGCCAGCGGGCACCGGGTTCCTACGCGGAACCCCTGCGCAGCCCCGGGGCCGGCCCCCGCGACTCACCATCAGCGGGTCCACCGCGGCCAGGCGCCAGACGTCGGCCTTCGAGGTGGCGGTGGCCCTGGGGGCGAACCGTGACTGCAGCCGGCCCATCAGCCCCTGGAGCATCAGCCGGGCAAAGGGCACGTTCTCCGCCACGGCCAGCCACACCTCCCTCAGGTGGCTGGCCAAAGACAGAGGGCAAGGACCGCGGGTTACCTGCCACGTGCCCTGCCAGGCAGGAGCCTCTTGGGACCCCCGGCGGCGGCACCCTGAGTAGCGGACGGGCTCCGGAGGCTGAATCTCAGGCAGCTGGAGGGAGCCGCCGGAAGGTCGTAACTAGACCCCAGGTCCCTGGCTCCACGCTCAGCCGCCGTCCCGTGCCCTGGCTCACGGAAGCCCTGAGAGGGCCACGCCCCCCTGCAAAGCCCCAGCTCCACGGCTAGGTGACCTCGGAGGTCCCCCCCCCTCCCCTGGCCCCCTGTTTGATGACCTATGGACACATGTGGTGACAGCCCCCACGTGCCCGGCCTGTGTCAGGCGGGCCCTAGGCACTGGCCGGCACCTGCGCCCTGCCTCCCACCAGCACATCTTTGAGGAAGAGGGGGTGAGGCCTGCAGGGGTCAGGTGGCTGGCCAGACTACAGCCTCAAGCGGCTCTCCTAGGCCCCACAGCCCAGCCCGTGGCCTGGCTGGGAAGGGAAGGGGCCCCTGCGCAGGAGGGACCTGGTCACGCAGGTTCAGGGGGGTGGCATCCTGTGGGTTCTAAAGAGACAAGCCCAGCAGGACCCACTGGAGCACGGAGATGGATGCGTGAACTGCCTGTCAGCATTCACGAAACTGGGCGCGCGGCTCCCCAAAGGCTGGACCTCGCGAGGGAGGGGCAGAGACGAGGCGGCGGGGGCGGGGGGCAGGGGCGGCGGGCACCCACCTCTGCATGGGCAGGGGCTGCCTCAGCAGCGACGTGAGCACCGTCTCCCGGTGGTGGCGAGCCAGCAGCAGGACGCCCTCGACCAGGCACTGCCGCACCTCCGGGTGGTCCACCACGGGCAGGTGGGCCAGGATGGCACCCAGGATCTCAGCCACCTGAGGCGGGGGGGGGGGGGGCGGGGCATCACCAGGGCCCCCCGGCCCCCATGGGGGCCTCTTGCCCTCACCCTACTGCACCACCCCCCTCCAGGGGCTCCAGCCCAACGGGACGCTGGGGCGGTTCTACCGCCAGCACCCTCCAACGGATCCTTCGGCCTTGTCCTGAACCTTATCAGGTTTTCGGTGCGGGAGGCAGTGCCTCAGGCCCTAGTCCACCGTTCCCTGACGGACATTCAACCCTTTCTTTCTCGTTCTAGAACTTTCCTGCCTCCTGCTCCGTACAGCCAGGGGTCTGGGAGGCACTGTCAGCGAGGGCAGGCGGCCCGGCCGGTCCCCCCCGCCGGGGTGCGCCAGGCAGCCCCGGCCGCAGGTGACCCGGCCCCACTGTGCTACCTTGTCTTCCAGCTCCTTGACCCGCAGCTGGAGGAAGGCGCCGATCCAGGTGACGGAGGCCCGGTCGTGCTGGAGGCCCATGGCCCCGAGGTTCTCGCAGAGCTTCTGGATGAGCGAGACCACGTCGTCGCAGCTGAACTGCTTGCAAGCCACCTAGGAGCACAGCGGGCCATTTCTGGGGTCCGACCGCCGAGTCCCAGGCCCAAGCCCCTGACTCTCCGGTCACCACCGACGGAACCTCCTCTCCTGCTGGACAGCAGGGCCCCTGCCCCCAGGCCCCCTGCTCCCTCCCCACCTGCCTCCCAGCCTCCCAGCCTCTCTCGGCGCCATCACCGGCCTGCTCAGGGTGCTTGTCACGCTTTCCAAAGCCTCCCGGCCGCACCTCCACCTCCCGCTCCCCGTCACCTGCCCCAGCCTCCCTGAACCTCCCCCCACAGGGAGCCTCACCCCAAACCCTCCCTGCCCTGTCTTTACTCCCTAAAGCCCTCCCTCAGGGTGTGCCCTAGGGCCTAAAGCTCCCCCCCGACCCGCCTCACCACCACCCCTGGTCTGTCCCGCCACTCCAAGTGCCCCCTCCTCTGGGAGACCCCTCTGCCCCCGGAGGCCGACGTGACCTCGCCCTCCTGCAGCCCCGAGAGTGTGGGTGGCACTGGGCACCTTCTGTCACCAGCGTGCCATCAGCCCACCCGTGCACCCAGGCCTCGAGTTCCCGTCTCTCTGGGGCCCCTCCCCCCTCGGCGTAGCACACCGTAAGGATGGGGAGCCGCTGGCCAGGGATGGTTCGGTACTTCCTGTGTGCCGCCAGGTCCCCGCGGGGACCTGACATAGTGCAAGTCACGTAAGGACTGATGTCACGAGCTGGCCCAAAGGCCGTGGGAGCTGTGACTCCCGGAAAAGAGTGGGGATTGTGTGGCCAGGCTGGGCCGGGCCCTGCCCCCGGCAATGGCCCAGGTACTGGGGGACCGGCCCACCCCGGTCATCACCTCGGCGATCCTGGAGGACACGCTGAAGACCGTCTCCGCCACCGAGGCCCCGAGGTCCTCCTTACACCGCGCCAGCTCCTGCTCCGTGGACGCGTCCCAGGAAGAGCAGGTCTGGCTTGCTGCTGGGAGCGCCGTTCCCGGCGTGATCAGCACCCACCGAAGGTGCAGCCGCCGGCGGTGTCACGGCAGCCTCCTGCCCCTGAGCTCAGGGCGCCTGGGCTCCGTGGACCCGACCCCACTGCAGCATCCGGCCTTCCGGCCCCTCCTGTGCCTTTGCCCTCACTGGGCCCCACGCCACCTCCACACTCGGCCCAAATGCCTGCTCCGCCGCAGGCCCCGCCAGCTGCCAAGCCAGAGGCACGCTCTGTGCCTCTGACGGTCGCCCCATGGCAGCCTGCCTTCGGCTCACCTCTGGCCAGTGTTACTGCGCCCTGGGTATCTGTGAGCTGGCCTTGTCGCATGGGAGCCCCTCAGTGCCCCCAGCGCAGGCCTGCAGTGAGTGACACTGAACCAATGAGCCTCTCCTTCCAGAAGCTTCCACGGCCTCTTCCTCCCTCCCGGCCTAGAGAGGCGGGCCCCACTGTCCACGTACCGTGAAGGTCCAGCAGGCAGGACAGGACGTCTGCTGAGGCCATGCGCGTTCTTTCGTGGGAGTCGCAGGTGCTTGGGGCGATGAGTCCAACCAGCGTGCCGAACTGCCCCAGCTTCAGGGGGATCTGGGGGACGGGAGGCCTCAGGGGTCACGCCCTCTGCCCCCTCCGGCACACCAGGTGCTGCCCAGGGGCCAGATGGGGGGACCTCTGCTCTGAAAACACCACCCCGTCCGGGACGGGAGAGGGTGCTGCCGTCCAACTGCTGCCCGAGTGTCTGCCCCCCGGGCCCCGCAGCTGGGCCCCTGGAGGCTGAGCAGCCAGGCCCCGGGGCGCCGGGCGGACCTCGGGCCCAGGTTCCGAGTCCGGGCGCCTGTCTTGTTCCCATAACGGGGCCCTGGGTTCCACTTGGGGCCTCCCCGCTCACTGGCTGTGTGACCCGGGGCCCGTCTTCCTCCTTTGAGGATAGTGGCTCCCCCTCGTTCAGGCGGTGGGGTGGCGGGAGAACGGCGTCGGAAAACCCAGCACTGGGCCGCAGACCTGACGTAGCCCTTGTCCCACCCACCTCGTTCTCCCTGCGTCCCAGGCCTGAGACCTGGGGCTGGTCCCCAGGCCCCAGCCCCAGGACACCCCTGTCCTCCCACCTGTGCCGACCGCCCCCAGACACCAGAACGTCCGCGACGACGGAGCGGACAAACGCAGGAGGAGAGGTCCCCTCACGTCATGCCGGACGATGAGCCAGCAAAAACAGCTTGTCACTTTTCTAGGTGTCCGTGGTGCTCGTCAGTGGTGCTTCGTGAAATTTGTCCTTGTTTAGTGACTTATTTTCTCAGTTTAAGGACGCATGCATGTTTCTCACCCACGTGGTCCCCATCATGGTGCCCTTTGCCTTAGACGGGGTCGGCACCACGGCACCCACCTCAGGCCCCGTGAAACCGAGATCCACAGGAGCTGCAGCCCATCCTCTCCCTCGCTCCCCCACCCAGAGCCCCTGGCCGCCCCCCCGAGGGGTCTCACTGCCGTTCCCGGGCAAGGCGGCCTCGTCCCAAGGGACGCCGGCAGAACCCAGGCCGGGGCGGGGGCGAGGGGGTGGGGATGGGGCGCTCCGGCACTCACGCAGACGCCGATGCTTTCGACGTAGGCCTGCACGAGCCGAAGGTGCAGGTTCACCGCCTTCTCCCGCTCCCACTCTTTCTCCGACAGGATCCACTTCTCCAGGAGCTGCGGACAGAGCCAAGGACACAGAGGGGGCCTTAAAACCCCAGGGCCAAGCCTTCTCTGGCCCGCCATTGCCTTCATCATCCCGCCTGCTCAGAATCTGACTTCCGACGTCTCTGGCTGGTTCTAGACACTTCTGGTTTTCTTCGCAGGCCCCACCACTGCGGCGATGAGGTTTGGAGCGGGTGGGGGGAGCTCTCTTAGCAACCTCCCCGAGGCGGCTCCTGACTAATGAGTGTGTTGGGCCTTGGTCCAAATGTCTGCCAGCCCGCAGGGGGGCCAGACGTCCAGCCTGCCCTGCGGTCCAGCGCACCCACCATCACGAGTCCAACTACAGAGCTTAGTCGTACACGGAGCAGAAACTGGCAGAACCGAGAGGAGAAATAAACGATCCGCAGTGACAGAGATCTCAGTACCTCTTTCTCCGTAACTGAGAGAACAAGAGGGCAGGCCATCAGGAAGCATCCGGAAACCTGAACAACCCTGCCACCCGGCCCGTCTAACGGATGCTCAGGAACGCGACACGGCAGAAGTCTTCCCGAGCGCCCGCAGAGCCGTCACCAAAGACAGGCCGCCCCTGGACGACAGAATACGTCTCCACCGGTGGAGGAGGGTTCGAACCCCACAAAGCATGCCCTCCGACTACAGCAGAGGGAAAGTAGGAACCAACACCGGAATGACCGCCGGGGGAAAATCCTCAAACATCTGGAAATTTCTAGGAAACCCACGGGTCAAAGAGGAGATCGAAAGAGGAATCAGTATGTGTTTTGAACGGGAATGAAGTGAGGACACGACCCATCCGGGTCTGTGGGGCGCAGCCACCAAGAGCGAAGCCAGTGCCCCCCCCGCCCCACACACAGTCCACCGCCGACTCAAAGACATGTGGTCGCGCTGCAGCAGCCGAGACGGGACGGCGCTGGCGCCAACACAGGTGACTGCACCAGGGGAGCGGGACAGCGTTCAGCGACGGAGCCACATGTACGCGGTCAGGGCGCTTTTGACAAAGGTGCAAAGGTAATTAGCTCAATGGAGAAAAGACCATCTTTTCAACAAATGCTGCTGGAGCAATGGGTCACCTGTGTGCAGAAATACAAAAGTTAAGTAAACTCCCACCATGTGCAATGGTTAACCCTAACTATGTCATAGACCTCACTGCAAAAGCTGAGACTGTAGAGTTTTACAAGAAAATACTTGTGGTCTCGGGTGAGGCGACGATTTCCTAGATGGGGCGGCAAAACCGTGATCCATAAAAGAAAAAATGATGGTAAATTAGACTTCCTCAAAATTTGAAACGCCTGCTCTTCAAGAGAGACTGAGAAATTCGTGAAAAGACGAGCCACAGACCGAGAAAAAATATTTGCAAATTGCATCACTGATAAAGGGCTTGTATCTAGGAAATATGAAAACTCTGAAAACAGTAATAAGAAAAAAAATCTAATAAATAAAAACTACCAGCACCCTTCAAGAACGCCAGGACCATAAAAGATGAAGACCGAGGACCTGCTGCAGACCAAGGGGACCGAAGAGACGCGACAGTTTCGTCTGACCACGGTCCCGACTGGACCCGGAGTCCAGGGGGACACGCACAGGACGCTGCCGGAACAGCAAGTGAAACTCACCGCGGGCTGCCGACCACGGATTCGGATACAGCACCGCATCGATGTGAAGTGTCTGACCCCGATCAGTGCGTTGTTATATATAAAACACCACTCTGGGTCTGAATGTCCACAACTGACTCCCCATGATCTGAAAGGAGTGAGTGTGTGTGTGTGTGTGTGTGTGTGTGTGTGTGTGTCTGTGAAAGAGAGAGACAAGACAGAGGAAAAAAAAATCTGGCAAAATATTAAGAACTGTGAATCGGGGAGGAAGGTATACAAGAGCTCTTTTTTATCATACTTGCAACCTTTCAGCAAATTTGACATTTTAGCTGACTAAAATGACCGAAACAATGTTGAACTCGTACCCCGGTTTCCCACTGAGAGCCCGGCCCCCGGACCAGCTTCCCGGTGGGGTGAGGGGCGGCCCTGCCCGGCTCCCAGCCCTACGCCGGCCTCTCACCTGCACCACCTCCTGCAGCCCCCGGGGGTCCAGCTGCCTGCACATGAGGCCTCCCATCAGCTGCTCCAGGGCATGCAGGGTGTTCTCATACAGGGCCTACGACGGAAGGCAGCAGGGAGGGGCGCACAGCGTGAGACCGCCTGACAGTCGCCCCTTCTCCTTCCGCTCAGGTGCAGCTCTCCACCCTCGTCTTCTCAGGGGACGTACACGACCCCCTCTCAGGAGGGACCCGTTTCACAGGGAGGGAACGGAACTCCCAGAGCCCAGTCCCAGAGGCACGGATGGCTACCTGGCCTCAAAAGACTTGTCCTCCTTTTCCAACAGTGTTCCTGGGAAACAGCCCTCGGGTCTGGGACTACATTTCCCAGGACCCCCTGCCTCGAGGTGGCACCATGTGACTGGACTCTGGCCAACGGGAGGTGGGTGGAGCAGCTCCCGAATCTACACACTCCTCCTCTTCCTCTCCCGGCTTCGAGTCAGTGCCCCTGGGGACCTTCGGAAGCACTCACTGAAGACTGCAGGGCTCCTGAGTGGCCCTGTGGAGAAGCTCTGTCCCCACCCCCACCACCTACCCGCTCTCAGCTTCCGTCTCCTTAAACCGCAGAGATCTCAGGGTGTATCTGTTATAGCAGCCAGCACCGCCTCGCACTGACTGACACGGCCCGCCGCCCTTGGCTGCCTCCGACCACAGGCGGGTGGTTCGGGATGCGTGCGGAAGGACGCGCCCCAGTCCTGACCCAGAAGAGGAGGCGGCCCGGAGGGACCTACCGCGATGGACTCGTTGTCCTCCCCTGGGGGCGGGAGGGGAATCATGGACTGCATGCTGACGTCCATCAGCTCGCTGTTTTCCTCTGGGGAGTAGAACGGCGTCACTTTGCTGCGGACGGAGAAGGCGACAGGGTGGTCAGCAGGGAGCTGAGACCCGTGCGTGGCCCAGCCTGGGGAGTGGAGGGGTGTCCCACACCGAGAGAGGGGACCCGTGTCCCTGGTTGGCATGTTCCCCGGGCCCTGGCTTCACCCAACCACCCGTGCCCAGTGAGTGGGTCTGGCACTGTGGGGCAGACTCAGGGGTCAAGGCCACCTCTCCTCCTCGGTGCCTGCTCCGACCCTGTCCATCTACTGCTTAGAAACATTCCATGAGTCCTCCCTGACCCCACCACAGACGTGGTCCTCCCAGCTGGCTCAGGCCCAGGGCTTGGGGGTGACACCAGGACCCGCAGCAGGGGCATCTCCTCGGAGTTTATCAGAAATGCAGATTCCATGGCCCTGCCTCAGACCTCCTGAATAGAACCCCCCGGGGGGCGGGCCCAGCTCACCTGAGGTGCCAGAGGGCGTCCATGGCCATGGTGCGCACGGGAGAAGCCAGGCTGTCCGGTGGCTCCGCCTTGATGATCGCCTGTCCGGCAGAGCAGGGCAGTGACCAGCCTGGCCCCCCCCGAGTCCCAGGCCGGGTACGGCAGGGGCCCTTCACACACAGTGACCCCGGTGGGGGCAGTACTCCCAGTGTCAGCGCCCCAAAGGGCTGACATTTTTAGGGCCGCTTGACCTTTGACATTTGGGGGGGCAGGGGGCAAAAATCTAGTGGGAGGCACGGGGTTCAAGATGGGCGTGTGTACCCCGCTCAGGTCTGCTTTGCACGGGTGTCCCCTTGGGCAGACCACTCCCCCTGCCTGAGCCCAGCTTCCCTCACACGTAGGACAAGGGCCCAGCGGCCTCTTCCCCGGGGCTGCACCAGGCCGGCTCCAAACGACACATGCACGGCTCCTGGTCCCAGCAGGAGCCAGACGCATGCGCGCTCCCTTCTCCGTCCCTCCCGTCCCAGCCTGCTCTCGTGTCCCTCCCCAGCACGAGCGAGCGGGGTGCAGGGCCACGGCTTGGTAAGGGCGTGGCGAGGTCTGGGCCAGGGACGCGGGCCGTCCCACAAACTCCGTCAGCACCCGTCGCCGTTCCTCGCTTCTGGGAAATCGATACGTTCTGGATCTCACCAAAGCTCTGTGCAAAATTAGCTCTAAGCCGTGCCTGCAGCTGACGCCTACCCTCTAGGTCCTTCCTACAGAGAGACGCTGGGCTGCTACCGTGAGGCCGGCCCAGCCCTGCATCCCGGCCCTGAACCAGCCACCGCGGGGGCGCCCAGAGCACGGCTGTCTCGTGGCCAGATGTAGGGACGTCGCCTCAGGACGCATCCAATTGGACCAAAGCAGAACGGAGACAGGAAGGGGCTTCGGAGGTCTCTGCAGCCCACAGCCCGTCAGATGCCCTCAGGAACTGGGCACAGTGACAGGCCCCTGCGCCCAGAGCTGGGGACCCCGGGCTTACCACGAGGATGGCAGTGAGGGTCGTCTTTTGGGCAAACTGAAAGTCCTCCGTGTCCCTGAGGTTTTCGATGGCCTTGGTAACCTGCACCACACTCTTCATGAAGGCCATTTTGAGGCCGATGTCCTGTGTCCGGGCCAAGGCCAAGGGAAGGAAGAAGTCTGTCATGAGTGAACCCGAGGACCCCGAACCACAGGCCGTGGCCTGGACCCCACGCCACCTAGGGACGCGAGTTCCTCCTCGCACAGAGAGATGGCTGGCCCCCCACTGTCCGTCAGCCACGTGGCAGGGGCCTGAGGGCAGCAGGGCTGGTCGGCGGGCACCGTCGGGACCCAGGGCTCCGAGCCCTGTCTGTTGTCAGGGAGGCAGAGTGAGTGACTGAGAGAAGATCCTATTTGCTTTTGCGACGTGGATGAATCTTGAGGGCATTATGCAAAGTGAGACAAGCCAGACACGAAAGGACAAAACGTGTGCGATCCCGCTCAACCAAGGTCCCGGGAGCCAGCAGACTCGCAGGGACAGGAAGGGGAGCGGTGGGTGCCGGCCGTGGGCGGGGGGGGGCAGTCATCTGCTGGGTGCAGAGAGTCTGGCGGTGGCTGGCGGTGACAGTTGCGCGGCTACGTGAAGGTACGTAATGCCACTCAAAAATGGTCACGATGACAGACTGTGTGTGACGTGTGTTTTATCGCAATTTTTAAAAGTAACAGAATAGTGTTCACTTTATTCTCTGTGTTTTCTCCTCCTCGCTTTTCCGAGAGAGCCGCTAGTCCCTTTGCATTTCTGAAGAGAGCCCCTCATCTCGTCCCTTAGGGAAAGGTCTAGTAGGGTCAGGGGTCTGGGGTGGGGGGTGCAGAGGCCAGGGTAGAGGGAGGGGTGGAGACTGGAAGGGGGCTCGCCGTGTGACCTCTGCGGACTCACGCTCACCCCAGCATCTCCTGCTGCAGCAGAGCGCAGCACCCGTGGCCGGGGCAATGGGTCTCCCAAATGCTGGGAGTCAGGTCAGACTCCCAGGCGGCTCCGTGTGGGCCTGCCTGGGTCCAGGGCCTGGCCTCACCCCCACCCGGAGAGGGAGGCAGGGCGACTCCGACAGCCAGGCTGGAGGAGGGCGTCTCCCAGGTGCCGGAGGTGGGTCTGTGGCTCCCCAGAGTTACCTGGGAGCTGCTGGTGTAGTGGTGGATGATCTTCGCGGTGATGGGGGTGTCCACGTGGGTGAGCAGCATCTGCCAGTGGCAGTGCAGGGCCACACAGCTGTACATCACCATGAGGGCGCTCTTCACCGTCTCCCGCCTCCAGGGGTGGTCCTTCTGCAAGGCCCCCCGAGAAGGGGGAGGGACGTTGGCAGGGCAGTGGGGGCAACCGCCCGCTGGGAGGGAGCAGGGTCTGCCCCAGCTGCTCACGGACCGTCTCTGGTCACAAGACCAAGAGAGCCACTGAGTTGGCTGGAGGTGCCTACAACACTCCATTCACGAATTCATTCATTCAGCACCTTTTTGTTGAGCACCTACAACATGCCAGGCCCTGGGCGTGGCGAGGTGAGCAAGTCAGAGCAGGGCCAGACTGCGCATCAGCTGGGAGTGGCCAGCAGTGTGGACGCCCCTAAGCAGGGGCTGGCTGTGCGCACCTCCATGACGCCGCTGCCAGGTGCCTACTCTGGGCCAGGGGCTCCCAGGACGCTGGGGGTCTGGTGGGAGCAGACAGCCTCTCAGCCCACTGTGGACGTGAGTCCGGGGGGCTCTTGAGTCCCACCAGGCTTCAAGTACAAATCCAGGTCTCCAGCCCTGCTCCAGAGCAAGGGTCAAGGTCAAGGCCAAAGCTTGAGGCATCAGTGCCTCCAGGTCGCCCATCGGGGACTCCGCCAACAGGTGGCACCAGGCCCTGAAGCAGGGAGTTGGAGCAGGGGCTGGGCGTGGGCGGCTTGGGGCCAGCTCCCGGCTTCACTGCTGGCCGGCCGCAGGCCTTGTGGCGAGCTTCTGAGTCCTCGTCTACACGCCAGTGGCCATGACACCCGCCCCGTCCCAGCCCCACTGACTCACGGAGGCAGCACCTCCACTTCTGCAGACCCAGTGGGCCGGGCGAGGTCTGTGCCCCTGCAGGCCAGCCAGCACCCAGGTGCCCCCCTCCCCATCAGCAGCCAGGGGCCAGGGGGCCTCTGCAATAACTGCGCCTGGAAAGGCCCACCCGGTGTTCTCTGCGTCACCCGGCAGCCCAGGCTCCGTGGGAGGCGGCTCCGGATCCATCACTGGGCGACGGGAGACGTGGCGGGGGCTTCTCACTGCCCTCGAGGAAGAACCTGTTGCTCTAAGAGGCCCCCGGAGCCCTGAGGGAGCCTCACCCGCCAAGCGCCGATCTGCCAGGACTGCTCCGACTCCTGGATCCTCTCCTCGAAGTTGTGGAGCACGTTCAGCACCGTCTTCACCTGGCCCCGGGCGCACAGGCCGAAGCACAGGATCACGCCCTGCAGGCAGGCCCAGTCAGCTGGGGGGAGGGGTCGGTGGGGGCAGAGGCGGAGCCCCTGACACGCACACGTAAGCATGCACACACGTGCACATGCACAAGCACACATGTCCGCAGGCACCCATGAACACGCAGGTGCACACACACACACACACGCCACATCCCCTGGGGGGCCCAGAGCGCTCTGGCCGATAGGAGGGGCTGCAGGGCGCCTCACCTCCCGGTCGAAGTCCTTGCCGTAGTCCGTCTTGTACAGCAGCTCCAGCAGCAGCAGCTCCACCTTGCTGGCCTCCAGGCCTGTGGCCAGGGTGAAGCCCAGGGCCCGGTACAGAAAGCTCTGGAGGGCGGAGGACAAAGCTGGCTTCAGGCTCTGCCCTCTGCCCTGGGAGCGGGGAGGGTCGCTGAGTAGGGACTTCCCTGCACAGCCCTCTAACTGTTCAACATGCAGGTATCTTCCCACTGTGTACGTCCTTTAAAATAAATGTTCAGGGCCAGGTGGGCGGTCCGCACGAGGGCGAGCATACAATGAACGCTGGGGGCCACATTCAGCTCCTGCGCAAACTGAACCCATTTTCACTCCCACCGACCAATCCCGGAGGACCCACTCTCCACGTCCCGGCACACGGAGGGACGTTGTCGGCGAGAGGGGGCGTCCCCTTTTCACGAGTTTCTCTGTCAGTCTCGTTGCTCATCGTGGCGTATTCTCATCAGAGAATCCTTCCAATTTCCATGCACATTCCTTCCCCCGCTTTCCGTCCGGTTATTCTCTTACCTGGTTTTGTTTTTGTTTTTTTTTTTTTCATGGTGATACTCAATTTTATTTGCATTTTTATTTTAAAAGAAGATTTAAAATGACATTTCCAGATTCTGTTTCTACTAATTACATTTGTGGTTTTTTAAAATATATTTTATTGATTATGCTATTACAGTTGTCCCATTTCCCCCCTTCACTCCCCTCCACCCTGCACACCCTCCCACCCACATTCCCCCCTTTAGTTCATGTCCATGTGTCATAAGTTCTTTAGCTTCTGCACTTTCCCATTCTATTCTTGCCCTCCCCTGTCTGTTTTCTGACCTACCATCCATGCTACTTATTCTCTGTAACTTTTCCCCCTCTCTCCTCCTCCCACTCCCCTGTTGCTAACCCTCCACGTGATCTCCATTTCTGTGGCTCTGTTCCTGTTCTAGTTGTTTGCTTAGTTTGTTTTGGTTTTTGTTTTAGGTGTGGTTGTTAATAATTGTGAGTTTGCTGTCATTTTACTATACATGTTTTTTTATCTTCTTTTTCTTAGATAAGTCCCTTTAACATTTCATAAAACAAGGGCTTGGTGATGATGAACTCCTTTAACTTGTCCATCATCAAGTTAAAGGAGTTCTTACCTGGTTTTTATTGTTAAGGACTTGGTGTGAAAAATAAAAGAACTTGGTGTGTGTCCTTGAAAAAACAACCACAAACATATATTACCTCACTTGCTCCACGAAGCTCTAGAAAGTAACTATAACTTGTATCTGGAGGTGAGAAAGCAGGAAGGAAGCGGAAGGACCAGGGTTCGAAACCCAGCACAGTCTGAGGCTCGCGTCCCAACAAGCCCGCGTTGGAATTCTCAACTGGCAGCTCGTCTCGGGTGGAGTCCCCGAAGGTCTCATTTTCCGTTTGGTCTCTTTGTGGCAGCTTTGTTTTGTCACACAGGAAATTTCCACGGAGGACAGTGTCTTTCTTCTCCTTGGTTTCTGTTCCTGCACAGAAGGTGATGCAAATGCTCATCCACACTTTTCTCCGGCGGCTGCGCGGTGCCGAGGACCCTTCCACCTCCCGTCGTCCGGGGACAGCAAGCTCTCCCCGGGTGTGCTTCGTTGCCAAGGCACCCTTAGCTGCTCTCCCACAAGTTTTTCATTCAGACGAACTTAGAAGTAACGTTGTCAGAGTTCACGAACTTGCCGCACTCCTGTAAGTTACGTTGCAGGTCCGCTGGAGAACAGCGGACACCGTCAGGACACCGAGCCCCTCTGTGTGCGCACGGGAGCTCGGAGCTGTGTGCTCGGGGCTTCTCCCGGCTCCCCGCCCGCCTTGTAACTCTGTGTCCTTCGAGTCGGCCCCACATCGTCGTTTCCCAGAGTTAACATTCTGTGACCGAATATGTATCGATGATGTATTTTACCAGTGCGGTGGCGGTGGTGCTTTGAATAGGATGTTTCCATTTCACTGTGTTTTTGTTTTCTTTGTACGCAGGAAGACAATGATCTCGGCGTGTTCATGTTGGGACAAGACCGGCTCCATCTGCTGGGGTGACTCTTCTGGAGGCTGCTGGCACCCGCCCTCCCCCACTTTGAGGGGGCCCGTCCGGCAACGGAGAGCTTGGGGGGGGGGGGGTCCTGGTGAAGCTCCTTAAGCTGCCGTGTCCGAATGTTTCCTGAGCCAATACAATTCTATTTATTTATTTACCGTGTGTAAGGTAGGTGAGTTATTACAATATGGTTAAATCATATGCATTTTCTTTTCTTAAAAATACATTTTATTGATTATGCTATTACAGTCCTCCCATTTTCCCCCGTTTATTCCCCTTTGCCCTGTACACCCCCTCCCACCCACATCCCCCTTTAGTTCTTGGCCATGGGTCGTACATATAAGTTCTTTGGCTTCTACATTTCCTATACTATTCTTAACCTCCCCCTGTCTATTTTCTACTTACCATTTATGCTACTTATTCTCTGTACCTTTTCCCCTCTTTACCCCTCCCATTCTCCCGCTGATAACCCTCCACGTGATCTCCATTTCTGTGATTCTGTTCCTGTTCTAGTTGTTTGCTTTGTTTGTTTGTTTGTTTTAGATTTGGCTGTTGATACTTATGAGTTTGTCATTTCACTGTTCATATTTTTATCTTCATTTTCTTAGATAAGTCCCTTTAATATTTCATATAATAAGGACTGGGTGATGATGAAGTCCTTTAACTTGACCTTATCTAAGAAGCACTTTACCTGCCCTTCCATTCTAAATGATAGCTTTGCTGGGTACAGTAATCTTCTATGTAAGTACTTGCCTCTCATGACTTGGAATACTTCCTTCCAGCCCCTTCTTGCCTGCAAGGTCTCTTTTGAGAAATCAGCTGATGGTCTCATGGGAACTCCTTTGTAGGTAACTGTCTCCCTTTCTCTTGCTGCTTTTAAGATTCCTTATCTTTACTCTTGGCTAATGTAATTATGATATGGCTTGGTGTGTGCTTCTTTGGGACTCTGAGCTTCCTGGACTTCCTGAAAGTTTATTTCCTTTGCCAGATTGGGGAAGTTCTCCATTATTTTTTCAAATAACTTCCATTTCTTGTTCTTCCTCTCCTCCTCTGGCACCCGTATGATTCGGATATTGGAACATTTAAAGATGTCCTGGATGTCCCTAAGTCTCTCCTCATTCTTTTGAATTCTTGTTTCTTCATTCTGTTCTGGTTGAATGTTTATTTCTTCCTTCTGGCCCAAACCATTGATCTGAGTCCCAGTTTCCTTCCCGTCACTGTTGGTTCTCTGTACGTTTTCCTTTATTTCACTTTTCACAGCCTTCATTTTTCCCTCTAATTTGTGACCATATTCAACCAATTCTATGAGCATTTTGATTACCAGTGGTTTGAACTGTGCATCTGATAGGCTGGCTATCTCTTCATCGCTTAGTTGTATTTTTTCTGGAACTTTGATCTGTTCTTGCATTTAGGTTTTGTTTTTTTTGTTTTTTTTTTCTTTTTTGTCTCAGCATGCCTACTACGTATGTAGGGGGCGGAGCTTTAGGTGTTCACCAGGACAGGGCAACCCACGTCACTGGGTTGTGACGCTGTATGTGGGGGAGGGGTCCGAGAGGGAACAGTGCCGCTTGCTCCACTCTCTGCTGCCTTTCAGTCACTTCCCCCACTTCCCACAAGCAAATTAGGCCCTTCTGGTGCTGATTCCTGGGTGGGTGGGTTTGTGTACATTCTGGGACCCTGTGGGTCTCTCCAACGAACTCTCCTGTGAGGCTGGGAGTTTCTCCCGCTGCTGCAACCCCATAGGTTTTTACAGTCAGAGGTTTGAGACTTTTTGTTTCCCATGTTGGAACTCTGGGTGTGTGCTCTGTCTCGCTCCCCAGTTGTTCCTCCCAGTTTATCTGCACGAGAATGTGGGACCTCCCGCTCCACCAGCTGCCGCCTTCACCCGAGTCCTCTCTGCCCGGCTGCCCGTCTCCACCCCTCCTACCGGTCTGAGTATTTCTTCTTTAACTCCTTGGTTGTTGGACTTCCATACAGTTCGGTTTTCTGTCAGTTCTGGTTGTTTTTTGTTTTTATTTTTTTTGTCGTCCTTCTTTTGGCTGTGCGAGGAGGCAGTGTTTTGGCCTGAACCTCCATCTGGGCCAGAAGTAGGTACGCGTTTTCTTATCACACGCTAGATGCAACGTTCTAGCACATGGCATCTGGCCTTAAACTGACATCTGATAAGAGCTTATATCTGCAGGTCTATAGCACTCAGCCGCAGAAGATTTCTGCAAGACACACTTTACCCATTGCTATTTGACACCCTCCCCTGTAAGGGTATATATCTGAACACACACGGTTTTTGGCTGACACCTATTGAAACCTTTTAAACAACATCTTTATTGAGATAGAACTCACAGTCCATACAGTTAACCCCTTTGACGTTTACAAATCCAATGGTGTCTTCACAGACCGGTGTAACCGCCGTCACAGTCTCTGTCTGGAGTACCCGGCCCCCCAGAGGGAAAACCCCGCACCTAAGGGCAGTCGCCCCTCTTTCCCCAGCCTCTGGCAACCGCTAACCTACTTTCTGTCTCTACGGAGACGCCCGTCCTGGACACTTCATGGGAGCGGAGTCAGGCAGTCTGTGGTCTTGTGCACCCGCTGCGCCTGGCTTCCTCCCCTCGGCAGGTGTTCCAGGACCATTCCTCTTGCTCACCTGACGGTGATGACCCTGAGCGCTTACTGGCCATTCGTGCATCCTTTTTAAAGAAACATCTATTTGGATCCTTTGCTCGTACGTCGGCCCTTTCATGGCTGAGTAGCATTCCGCCGCATGGGGGAAGCGCGTTTGCTTGCGAATCCACCCACTGACGGGCCTCTGGGTTGCTCGCACTTCTTGGCCTCATGAATGATGCTTCCATGGACATGTAGGCACAGGATTGTGTGGGCACCTGTCATTCCCTCTCCTCTGGGGATTGCTAGGTCGTATGTGACCTCTGTCTTGCATGTTCTGAGGCGGCGCCAAGCTGCCGTTCAAAGCCACGGCACCGTTTCACATTCACGCTGGCAACACACGAGGGTTCGGATATCCCCGCACCTGCCAACTCTTGTTATCGTCTCACTCACTGCAGCCGCCCTCGTGTGTATGGAGTGGTGTCTCTCTGTGGTTCTGACCTGCGTTTCCCCGACGGTGATGATCCTGAGCACTGACTTGCCATTCGTGCATCTTTCTCAAAGAAACGTCTATTTGCATCCTTTGCTCATTTTTAACTGGCTCGTGTGTCATTCACCGGTGAGTGATAAGAGTCCTTTACATATTTCGGATACAAGCGTCCTACCAGGAACCTGATTTGCAAATATTTCCTATCATTCTATGGGGTGTCTCCTCGCTGCCTTGACGGCACTGTTTTCAGCGGAAGAGGGTTTCGTGTTGACTGTGCCCCATTTATTTATTTTTATGTCATCACTGGTGCTTTCAGTGTCACTTCTAAGACAGCTGTGCCCAAGCCACAGTCACAATGATCGCACCTGTTTTCTTCTGAGAGTTTTATGGGGTTTTAGCCTTCGTAGGCACGTCTGTGGTCCGCTTCGGGCCCGTCTTCGTGCGCGGGGCGAGCGGGCAGCCCAGCCTCAGCCTTCCGCAGGGCAGATGCCGCCGCCGTCCCAGCTCCGTTCGTTGAAACAGCCGTCGGTTCCCCGTTGCGCCGTCTTGGCTCCCTTGTCAAAAACCAGCTGACGGCGACGGTGAGGCTCCTGCCTGGACTCTCAGTTCTGCTCCCCAGTCTCTGTGTCTGTCCTCACGCTGGTGCCACCCGTCTTGGTCACCGCAGTCATGCGCGATAAGTTCCGAAGTGTGAGTCCTCCAACTCGGCCTCCTTTTCAAATCGTAATTATTTATGCTGCCTGTTCTGGGCCCCTGGCACTTGCACGTGAATTTTAAGTTCAGCAGATCAATCGCTGGGAAAAAAAAAAAATGTCCAGGCGGAATTATGCCAGAAGCCCTGTTGAACCTGTAGATAAACTTTGGGAGCATCATCATCGTTAACTGCACCGTCTTCCAGTCCGTGAACGTGGGGGGCCTCCCACTGACTGCAGCCTCCTCTGGCTTCTTTCAGCGACGTTCGCAGATTTGGAAAGGCTTTCCCGCAGTGAAATACGCACACGCGGCCGGAGGCCAGTGCCGGATGGATCGGGCGCAGGGAGCTGTGGCCAGCAGACTGCGGGGATCGGGGCGGGGCGGGATGAGGACTGCTGGGAGCCCAGCCCCGACCCCAGCCTGCCCCCTGCAACCGGGAGGCCCGTGGTTCAGTGTCGTCCTCACCTTTCCCTATTTATGGAAACCTGTCCGGACATCCCAGCCCTTGCCTGTGGGACTCGGCCCTGAGACAACTTCAGGTGGAGAGGGGAGTGAGAGGGACGGGGAAGCTGGTGGACCAGAGGAGAGAGTCCCAGCTCCAAAGCAGCACGTGGACCACCCTCCCAGGAGCCTGCGGGGCGCAGCCGCTCGCTCACACACAGTGCAACCTCTCCCTCCGCCTGGGGCCCCTCCCGGTCTGAAGGGCCCCCCGCGCCCGCCCCGGGGACCAACCTTCTCCAGCGAGGGGCTGTCAAAGCTCTCGATCTGGTTGTTCAGCTCCTTGCCCAGGCGCAGGCTCCAGTTGGAACCCCGCGTCTTCTTGAGGGAGTGTCTCAGAAACTGGGGAGGCAGGAGACGTCGGTGGGCGGTGCTCCCGGAGGGCTGGGAGACACTGAGCGGCGACCCACCCTCCCCAGCCTCTGGGTCCGTCACCGACCCACAGGGCCTGGATCCGGTCCTGTGGGCCCGTGGGTCTGGGCAACAGCCCTGGCTTGGGCTGCCGGGAGGGTGTCACCGCTGTGCGGACTTCCTGAGCACTTGGTGTCCCAGAATAGCAGGCCCCGAGTTCCCCCCTGCTGGGAGACACCGAAGTGGGCGTGCCTGGGGGCTCCCCAATCTCCTAACAGAAGGGGAACGTGTCCTTTTGGGACTCCTAAGCGCCCACGCGCCAGCCGCACAGAGTGCCCTGCACCCCTCCGGCCCCCTCACCCCCCACCCCGGGCTCAGCAGGCAGGGCCCCCTCGCTACCTGAATCAGCTTGTCCTCCCAGGTCTTCTGATTCCAGGTGAACTTAGTGTGTTCTGCAGAAAGAAGGGTCACCTGTGCCGCTGTCTTCAGCAGCTCCCCTCTGGGCCACCTCCTTAGCCTGTCCTGCAAAGCCCCTCGTGGGTCAGCCTGCCACCTGCTGCGCTTCCCTCCCCACCCTCCTGAGGACCAAACCCAGAGGTGCCGGCCCGCCCTGAGCCTTGGCTCCTGGTGCTCACGCCGCGTGAGTGGTAGCGCCCCAGCCTGCCCACGGAGAGGGCGGTCGACCCCGGGGTGGGGCCCCTGAGGCCCTCACCTTCCAGGTACTTGATCAGCAGTGGGATCTCCAGCTCCCACGTGTCGGCCATGGAGGGCGCAATGCTGTGGCTCAGGGTCCTCAGGAGGTTGAGCATGGCCACCCCCCTGCCCTCCCCTTCGTAGGGGGACGACATCAGCACCTGGTGGGGGAACCAGCCTCCAGTGGGGCTCCCTGCCTGCTCCGGAGGGGCCCTGGGCCCCTCACTCCGACAGGGAGACCAGGGACAAGGCCCTGTGTGCCTCCCCACCCCAGGCCTCCACGGAGCGTGGAGGAGCACCCAGAGTCCACACCGGGGCGCAGCACAGAGCCCGCCTCCCGGGGGCAGACAGGCCACCGTCCCGGGGATGAGCAGAGGAACCTGCGGGCAGATCCGAGCCCACGGTCCCTGATGTCTCCACGAGAGGGACACCGGGGGCCGGAAGGCTCTGCAGTGCCAAGCGTCCAGCTCCTGCCTGCCCCTGGGGGGGGGCTCTGGGAATTAGGGGCTCGAGGGAGAGGCGCCACAGGACACGGCCTCAGCCACACAGGGCGCCCCCCGGGGGAGCCACTCACCAGGAGGCGGGCCAGCAGCTTCTGCGGCGCGGGCAGGTCCACTGAGGGAGGAGGACATGGGACCCTCGCTGAAGCGCTTGGCCCAAACCACCAGGGTGTGCCCTCCCCCGGTGTCCCCAGGGGGGGCTTCGGCCGGGAAGGCGCTTCCCCAGCACCAGCCCATTGTCCCCGGGGTGGTGAATGGGTTGGCACGGCGGGGGTTGGGGGGGTCTATACAGACCGTCCCTTTAATAGGCTGACCCTGGGAGAATGGGAACCGCGCTGCGGGCGGGGGCTGGGAAGATGGCATGTGCAGGAGGAGCCCCTTTGTGCAGAGCCCCAGGCCCCCCACAAGAGCATCAAGGCAGCATCCGTCTCTCCTGTGAGCCTTGGCTTCCCCCCAGCCATCAGGGGTCAGACGCCCGCCCCCTCTGCCCCCAGCCGCCTCTGCCCCCAGCCGCGGGCCTTGGAGCCAGTGAGGCTGGGGGAAGCACTTGGACCACTGGGCCGGGGAGGGCCAGGCCTGCTGAGAAGCCCCAAGGGCAGGGGGCCCAGGAGAGGATGCACCCCGCCCCCCGGGGTTGGGGGTGGGGGCATGAGGAAGACCTCAGGGGGTGGCCTCGCTGGCTGCTCAGGGCAGGCCCCACCTTTTGCTGTCCCTGGGTCCTACAGGGTGACCAGAGTCACCCCCACTGTCAGCCGTGCCCATCAGCAAAGCCCCAGGCCCCGAGAGCAGCCCCCGGGGACCGCAGGGTCACCTCGCACAGAGGGGCCCTGTCACTTTGTGGAGAGTTTGATGTTGGCGGTGCTCAGCCACGGGGACCACAGTGGGGTGGTCTACACAGGACTCAGCCAGGAGGTCAGGGGTGCCCCTACCGGCTCACAGAAGCCCAGAGACATCACACCCGGGCAAGGCTGAGCCAGGACCTCCGGGGGGCAGGGGCGGGGCTGGGACTTGGGGATGTGGGGGCGGGAGGAGGGAGCGGCCAGAGGAAGTCTGTCCGACGGACAAAGGGCAGGCCCTCAGCCTGGCAGGCGGCCGGGGCTCCGGCATGCTTCCGGGAGGAGGGGGACCATCTGGGCACACAGGGCAGCCCACCTGCCCGATCCCACCAGCCGGCTCAGGGGGGCTGCCCACCGTGCCTGCTCCCGCCGGCCGCCCTGGGCTCTGTGCCACCGGCGTGGAGCTGGCGCTCCGCCAGGTTCGTGAGGCTGATGCAGATGGGCGTCAGGACCTCCACGTTATCTGTCTCCATGACGTAGCACAGGAGCCTCACCCAGAACTCCTGGGGGGAGGGGGGGAGGGGGCCAGGGTAGCCAGGCGCCCCATGGCCACGTGAGGACATGGGTTAAGCTCCCCCACGGTGAGAGCCTCAGCTCAGTGTTCCAGGGCTGCACCCCCACCCACCGGCAGCCTCCACCCCCTCGGGCTCTGCCGGCAACCCCGGGCTGTGTCTCGGCCCTCTGAGTGGCCCCGGCCCCGCTCCCGCCCCCCATATAGCGGAGGGAGTAACTCCCATCCCTGCCCACCCCCACCAACCCCCACCCACCACTTCCTCTTCGACCAGCACCACCACCCCCCACCCCAGTCCTGCAGAGGTGCACCCTGGGTAGATTCAGGCGTGCTGGCTGACTGTGATGGGGCCCCAGCTAATCCTGGGGACCCTCAGCCTCAGCCTCAGCCTCAGCCTCAGCCTCAGCCTCCCCCCAGACCCCTGGGAGTCTGGGGTGAGGGTCCTGTGCTACCAGCTACCAAGTCGGTCACGCGAGCTGCTGCAGCTGCCAGGACAAGCCCCCAGGGGGCACCGTGGCGAACCGGAAACGGGATCCTGTTCCCAGCTCCCCTGTGTGCCGCCTGCAAAGCCCGGGGGCAGCTAACATCTCCCTGGTCCTCCATTCCTTCACCCACAGAAGGAGGGGATACTGAGAGAGCCTAGCTCGTTGGTTGGTGGGGGTAACGGAACGAGGGTCCAGTCGCTGCGCACCCAGCACAGCGCCTGCCGAGTGCCGGGGTTCACGAGTCACTGTGTCTCTCTCTAAGGGAAGCCGCCCTGCACGGGGTGGCCTCAGTGGGTGGACAGTGACGCCCCCCCTTGATCCGTCACAGGAAGTTTCTCCTGTCATATTGCTACGTCACAGTGTATCACAATTAAAAGTTGACAGGCCCTGGCTGGCGTAGCTCAGTGGACTGAGCGCGGGCTGCAAACCCAAGTGTCGCAGGTTCGATTCCCAGTCAGGGCACATGCCTGGGTTGCAGGCCATGACCCCAGCAACCACGCATGGATGTTCCTCTCTCTCGATCTCCCTCTCTTCCCTCTCTAAAAATAAATAAATAAAATCTTAAAAAAAAAAAAGTTGACACGTCTGTTTCCCCTTAAGCCTGTGAACTCCTTGGGGTCATACTGAGTGCTTTCGGTGTACGGCCTCCTGCCTTTCACACAGTAGGAGCTTGCCAAACGTTTGTGGGCATCGGCCACTAAGATCATCTCTCTACCCACACCCACACACACGCCCCTAGACTGAAGGGGATTTAAGGTAACAAACACGTTTTAGGCAATAAGCCAACTGATGGACGTTGAGGCCTACTGTGTGCCAGGCACTGCCCTAGCATCCGGGGGCCCTAAGTTCCCCTCGAGCACCTGGCTCTGGAAATAGATCTCGAAGGACTAGAGCTCAGGCAAGAGGAAGATGCAGGCTCCCAGGCATCCCAGGCGGCGGGAACGGGAGAAGCGAAGGCACAGAACTCTGGGTGCACACCACTCCCCCGAGCCTGAGCCGTGCCAACGTGAGCCATCGGCGGCAGCGCGCCAGCCCGGTGGGCCGGGGGCAGGAGCCTCACTCACGTGGGTCATCCCACTGACCGCAGAGGTGATGATCTTCACGGTGTCCATGGTGACTTTGTGGACCATCTTTTCCTCCAGGTCCCTCTGGTGGAGGCTGTCCCGGCGATTCGTCTGGAATGCAGAACCAGGAGGTCCCTGCCCGGGGGGCTGGCAAGGGGCTTGCTGTGGCCTTGGGCATGGTCTCCTCGCCCCCACGGGGCTTGGCACTCCAATACTGAATCTCGGGACACTCAGAGCTGTGAATGTCTCTCTGTTTCCCAGACTCCTGCCTGTGTGGCTGCGCCCACCTTCACCTGCCGTTCTCCTTTGTCTGTGTTCATGTGTCACAGACGAACACGCCAGCAGGTTCATACTCGGGGCGCATTCTGTCTTCAACCCTTTGGGAACCACTTCCAAAGCCCGGCTGCTCCCAGGTCGGAGTGTCAGGGCCACTCACCAGTTTGTAGGTGGACAGGGTCAGCTGCATGGACACGAACTTCAGGCCCCAGCCTTTGATCCTGTCCTGGAAGCCGGACATGGCCAGCTGGCTCATGATCCGGAGAATGGCCATCCTCACCTGAGGACACAGGGCGGTGCGGACACACTGGGTGTCGGGGCGGGCTCCAGGGTGGGAACCTCGGCACCCAACCCCGGGACTCGAGATAGAATTAGGGGAGCTCTGGGCTGCACAGGGCCTCAGGGGCCACCTAGCCACTGCCCACCCTGTCCACTGCCCCTGCCTCATCCAGAGGGTCCCACTCTGGGGCACGCCCATCCAGGAGCCTCATCTGAACAATCCAGAGACACAGAGCGTGCCCCCGGTTAGGTAGAAGGTGCCGTCCTCAGGGGACCGCCTGACTCGTACGCCAGGGCTCCCTGGGGCCCCCGTGGGGCAGCACAGAACAGCCTGCCCTCTCTTCCCTCCTCAGCCTCCAGGTGTTGCAGACGGCTTTACCTGGATCTCCAGTCCAAACTCTCCCATCCCGGACCCCCGCCCCAACCTGCCGCCCTGGGGACGGGCAGCAGCCCCAGGGCCCCAGGCCAGAACGGAAACCGCCCTCCAGGGTGGCCACGCCCATGGCCACTCTTATTTGGAGGGTGGAGGGCATGTCCCCCAGGTGCTTTTTGCTCCTAGAGGAATGACCTTACAGGGCCACTCGGTGGCCTTGCCGGTCTGGCCGGAGCTGCTTCCCCTCGGCTCGCCCTCGCCCAGGGTGCCTGAGAGCCCTCGCTGACACACGGGACAGCGAGACTGGGATGGGAGGGGCCACAGCACTGACGGCCCCCTCCACCCGCAGCCCTACCAGTGCTGACCAGGAAGGAAGCTGGGTTGTCTGTGACGGGCGTCGCCCGAGGCGGCCGGCCCCCACCCGGCTGCTAGGGGCCAGCCTTCCACCTGGTTCCCCGTCCCTCCCGGAGGAGAACGCTGAGCACCGCCCTCCTCGGGCCTCGGCCCTGTTACCTTGGGCCGGGTGTCGGAGATGGAGCTCTTGACCACCCGGATGGCCAGGCAGATGGTCCTGACGTTCATTCTGGGCTCTGAAAGAGGGAAACCAGCCTGGAGGGCCAGCCGCCTCGGGCTGGGCGCTGAGGGGTGCCTGCGGCCGCAGCAGGGGCCCACCTTCCCGTCCAGGCCTGCCCGCGCCCTTCCACAGAGAGCCAGGCAGCGGGTGGCTCGTCCGCGTCACGGCCTCCTGCGCTCCAGCACGTGCTGAGGGGCGCCTCCCTCGGAAGCCCCCGACGCCCTGCCCAGCGCACCCTGGCCCGGCCCCGGGGCGATAGGTGTGTGCCTCACTCCCTTGGCCTCTGCTTGGCGTGTGTGTCTCTTTCGAAACTACTTGGACTCTCCTTAAAGCAGGGTCTCCACCTAAGAGCCTGTTAGTCCCCTGGGCTGGGCAGGCAGTGCTGCTAGGCAGTGGGCCCGAGAGGCTGCAAAGCGCAGGTATGGAGAGACTGGGCTCCAGGCCCAGGCTGCCTGGGCCCCAGTCCTGGCCCCGGGACGCCCCCGAGGTGCAACTTCAGGTGAATCACTTCGTCCCTCTGTGCCTCAGTTCCCCTCCCTGGAAAATGGGCATGATGGGAGCACCTCCCGCACAGAGCTACTGGGTGGGGTGGAGCCAACACAGCCCATGCCGACGTGCCGCCTAGTGTTTTGAAACTGATGACAACACCCCCAGTTAAAGCAGGAGGGGGATGAAGGGAGGTGAGAAAGCACCCGTGCGGGAAGGTTCTGGAGAAACCGTGTGTGGGCAGAGTCGGGGCTGGGGGCCGAGGGCGATGCTGCGCTCGGGGACAGGTGGCGCTGGAGGTGAGCGGGCGGCGAGGGGGGGGGGCGCGGGGGGGAGAGGAGAGACAGGAAGTGCAGACAGGTAACCAGGCCCTGTGGGGGAGTGTTACCTTTCTTTCTGATTATAAGAGTAGTGTATGTTCATTGCAACATTACAACTAAAAATGATGCCCTGGCTGGCGTAGCTCAGTGGATTGAGCGTGGGCTGTGAACCAAAGTGTCGCAGGTTCGATTCCCAGTCAGGGCACATGCCTGGTTTGCAGGCCACGGCCCCCAGCAACTGCACATTGATGTTTCTCTCTCTCTCTCTTTCTCCCTCCCTTCTCTCTCTAAAAATAAATAAATAAAATATTAAAGGAAAATTAAAAATAACCACTCAACCCTTTGTGTCCTTCTAAACCCGTTTATGCATAAATAAACAAATACCAGTATTTCTTCCAGATAACCGAGGTTTGCGATACATGCTGCCCTATACCATATTGCTAACTGAATATATAAAGGACAGCTTTCCCATGGGAAAAGGTAGGCTGACTACACCCTCGATGGTTGTATAATACTCCATTAAATGGATATACTCTCATTTTTCCCCACAAATTCTCTATGGAAAAAAGTTTGGTTTATTTCTACAGCTTTGCTTTCATGCACCACGTGCTAATGCAGTTTTTCGTCCAATTACCTTTGGGCAACTTTTTCATTCAGACAACTGACAAGAAGTCGCATTGCTGAGCCCAGGCTCGGGTCCCCACCCAACTGAGCATCCAAACTTCTTCGTCGAGTTACACCCCCGCTGACGGAGTGTAAGACGCCGATATTTCTTGTTACTCCAGACCGGGGATTAGCAGAGTGTGCCCCGTAGGCTAATGCAGCCTGAAGCCTGTTTTTGTAAATAAAGTTTTATCGGGGCACGGCCACGCTCTGCAGCCTCTGACGGCTTTTGCTCTGCAGTGGCCAAGGTGAGGAATTGTTCCAAAGATCAAGAGGTGGTCTGCAGAGCTGAAAATATTGTCACTATCACCATTCCCAGAGAAATGGCGAGGCCACCTCTAGTCACATCACCTGTGCCCACTGGGTGGGTGGAGAGGGTTCTTGTTGATGCTGCAAGTCGCATTTCTTCAAGAGAGGGGTCTACAGCCACCCAGTTTGTGAATGGCCCAGGGACGCTCAGGGGAAAGCAGGTACCTGCAGGGCTGCATGCCGCCAGCAGGGGGCGCCTTGTCCAAAAGGTGAGGTCCTGAGCTAGCAAGCAGTATTTCCCTTCTGTTGTCAAGGTCAGAGTTTGGGCTGAACGATTTAGAATCAGGGGCTGAGACCAAGGCTGGGCATTGCGTCAGTGAGGCCGTAGGGCTCTCCCCACACGCTGTAATGAGGCTTTCTGTTCACCTCTGATTTAGCTCTGGGGTCCGTAGGGGGATTGCGGTGAACAGTTTGACATCCAGACTCAGGCGGAACCTGGGACTCGGGGTTTAGGGGCCGGGCTTAGAGGTGGGAAGCGGGGGTCACAGAGCTGGCCGGGCTCTAGGGCAGAAAACGCGAAGCGGCTGCGTGCGCTGGCTCCTTAGCCCACCCAGCGGGGCCTACAAAACAGGAAATGACGGGGGGGTCCGGACTTGGGGGATGCCCGCCTCCCCGGCCCCGCCGCCTTCCGGCCCTTGCTCACCATCTGCGCCCACCACCGCCCTGATCAGGGTCAGGGTCCCCACGCGGATGGCCTCCTTGCTCGTCTCCATTTGGCTGAGGAAGAACTTCATCAGCTCCTTCGGGTAGGAGCGGGCTGCAGGGGAAGGGCCGTCCGGGTCACTCCCGCCGGGCCAGAGCCAGAGCCAGAGCCAGGGTTGGGGTTGGGGGGAGGCCCCCCAGGCCGCGCCGGAGCCTCACCCAGGGCTATGAAGCAGTGCTCGATCTCCCCCACGTTCTGGCCCACGTACTGCTGCTGGGCAGGGGCCCTGACGCACACCTGAGGAGGGGGTGGATGGGGGGTGAGTGGGTGGGTGAGGCCACAGCGAACAGAGAAGCAGGTGCCCAGGAGCGAGGTGAGGCTCCGCCAGCACCTCCCTTTGGCCCGGATGGCCTCCTGCCGCAGCCCGCGTCCTGCGGGTCCGCCCGGAGAAGGCCCTGCCTGGCCCAGCTTGCGGGCCTCACCTGGATGTGCAGTTCCGTGAAGATGGTGTGTAGCTGCATTTGGGGGACGGGGGTCCGAGTGACGACCGACACCTCCAGGATCTGCCTCAAGACCTGCAGCGGACGGGCAGGCGACCTTCTACTGACTCGGGGTCGCACTCGACACCCTGGCCGCTCAGTGTGGTGGCCAGGGCAGCCTCTCGGGCCAGTGCCGCAAACTGGCTGAACTGACCCTGCATTGCAGCCGGCCCCCAGGGCCGTTCCCGTGCTCAGTGAGGCTGGGGGCCCTGCGCTGGGCCACCCGGCGTGACGTTCAAGGCCATCTTCACCTTTCTCTCCCCATCACCTGGAGGTACATCCCACTCTTTTACCCCAACTCCCATTTCCGCCCCTTGCTTTTGCAGCTAAGGACCTTGCCTCCTCTGTAGACAGGCAAACACTTTACAATATGTGTCAGCCGGCCCGGGTCACGCCTCCACTGGCACGGGTCCAAAGCTGCCCTGGGTGGAAGGGTGTGCCCCCAGAATTCATGTCCACCTGGACCCTCAGAGTGTGGCCTTGTTTGGAAACAGGGACTTTGCAGAAGAAACTAGCTAAGGACCTGGAGGTGAGATGGGTCCCGGGTGTAGCTAGCGTCGGCCTCAAGTCCAGTGACTGGCGTCCGTAGAGGCGGAGGCGAGGGCAGAGAGAGGCGCAGAGGAGGAGGCCCCGGGAGAAGGAAGGGCAGGTCTGAGAGGCACGGCCACGGGCCAAGCAGGGCTGGGCCCCCTCCACCCCCGGGAGCGGGAGGGGGCTGGAGGGACGTGCCCTAGAGCCTGTGGAGGGCACGCAGCCCTGCCGACGCCCCGATTTAGGACTTGCAGTCTCCAGAACTGGGAGAGAATTCTGCTGTTTTAAGACACCTGCCTTATGCAGCCCCAGGAAACTTATACAAATGTCACAGCCTCACGTGGCCTCTAAGACCATTTGGGATGGTGTCACCCCCTGGAATGGCAGCATTTGTCTCCAGAAAAACCCTGAAAGTAGCAGGCCCCACAGCCCCTCGTAGGGCACAGATATTGGGTTTGTTGCCAGGCGTCAAACTACCTGATACCCCCCCACCCCCCACCCCTACCCGGATGGTACGCCCCCCACCAGCACTCTGGGGGCCCAGGCCCGCGGCCCCCACCTGAGTGATGAAGAGGGCCTCCAGGTTGCCCTGGTACTCGGCCAGCAGCAGGGGCACGTAGTCATACACCTGCTCCCGCAGGTCGTCGTTGGGCAGGAGGAGGTTCAGCATGGGCTTCAGGGACTTGATGACCCCCAGCTTCACCTGCCACGGGAGTGGCGGCTCGGGACTCCTGCGCCCAGGACCCCCGGTGGGGCCCAGGGACGGAAGCCCCGTCCACAGAATCAAGGACACGTGATGGAGGGGACCTTGGAAGCAGGGTCGCGTCCTCGCCCAAGGCTCCACGGGTGGGCAGTGAGGCCAGGCTGTCCCCTCGAGTCCTAGCTCTGTCACTTAGGGGACCTTGGACAGGTCCGTCCCCTCTCTGTGTCCCCCTTTCCTCCTTTGTAAAGCAGTCCCACGGCACAGAGTCAGCGCGGAAACAGCTCCCACGGGCAACACGCCTGGACAGCACCCGCAGGCCCAGAACCGCCCCTCGTCTAGAAGCCTGTGGGGCGTCCGAGGCCCCGGGGCCCGTGCCTTCCGAGTCACCACCCCCCAGCTCTGCCGTCGGTCGGTCAGGTCACCCTCCCTCGGGGGTTCCGGGGATGAGGCCGGGCCCACAGGCGGCGGAGCCATCACCTGGGTGGGGGGAAGGCGGGCGCCTCCAAGAGGGCGCGTCTCACCTCGGGGTTGCGGCTCCTCAGCCACACGGTCACGAAGTAGCGGTACATCGGGAACAGCTTGACAGCAAACTGCTCCTCGGTCATCACCGGGTACACGCTGTCCTCCAGGTGCTTCAGGTAGAACTGCACCGTCTCACAGAAGGTCTCCATGGCTGCGGGGGCGGGGAGCACAGAGGGGCAGGGAGGGACACCGCGCCCAGGCCCCAGCCATTGAGATGGACGTGCTGGGGTCCCGGGCGGGGCCCGGAAATAACTCTCACCCGTCCTGGAACCCCAGTGCAGAGGGAAGCAAACCCAGTGTGCCCTATTTTTTTTTTCAGGGGTCAGGGGTTTGGGGGCCATGGCAACATTATGTAATCAGACCCCGGGGCAAGGAGAAGAGATGGGAACAGCACCCAAGACCTGCCGTGTCAGGCCTGGTCCCCGTGCCCCGTGACCCCCACCAGCCTTCTCGGGTCTTCTCCCGAAAGGCTGGGCTACGTACAGAACAAACTAAACTGAGTCACATGGACAGCTCCTCCCTCTGAGCCACGGGCCCGCCCCCACCTCGCTGCCAGGCAGCCAATCAGAGGCCACACCGAGTGGCAGCTCAGGCAAATGTTTGGGGACAAATGGACCGCCTGCCTCCTGCTCAGTAGCCCTTCCGCCTGCACCTCACCCCACGCCCCCCTCCAGCCCTCCTCCGATCGGGCCACACCTGAGGCCCGCGTGGGGCACGTACCACTACAGATCACCTGACGCATCTTGGCTTCGTTGACAAGTCTGAGCATCGTGAAAATGGTGGCCAGGGTGATGCCCATGTAGGGCATGAACTCGAACACTGCGGGGCGGAGCACAGGTCGCCAGAGGGGCGTCGGCGGGGAGAAGGCAGACAGGACGGCCCCCAGCCCGCACCTCCAGTCGCTGTGCCCCTCCCCGCCCAGTCCCGCACAGTGCCTCGGGGCCAAGTCAGGGAGCACCTTTGCGACCCTGAGGCCCCGGGACACAGAGGGAAGGAAGTCAGAGCGCGGTGAGGGCCCAGCCCGAAGCAGGTGAAAGGAGAGGAGGACAGGGAAGCGGGGGGTGGGAAGGAAAGGAGACAGATCCCTGAGGGAGAGCAGGACGTGGGAGACTGGAGACTGGGCTCTCAGAGCGTGCCCACCCCTGGGAACGAGGTCTGGCCCCTCTGGGTGTCCCGAGTGTCCTCGGGTCAACGCAGAAGCGGGGACTCGGCGCGTGTGGACGAGAGGCTAAGAGAGGACGGGCAGGCAGGCGGCGGGGCGGAGGGAGAAGGGAAGCAGAGACGGGCAGGGGACAGGGAAGGAGGCTGCTGGGAAGAAGAGTGACCGGGACAGGCCCGCCCTCGGAGCCACCTCCCGGCCGGGCCCCTGCCTCCTGTCCACCCGCCTGGCCCTGTGTCGGGTTCTCTGGCCTCAGCTCGCCGCCGGCCCAGGCCCTCCCTCGCCCCTGAGCCTCTCACAGCGAGTGGCCCCCGACCCCCGATCTTCACCCCGCCCCCCTCCGCCACCTCTCTGCAGCCCACCCAGGACCCAGCCCCAGCACACCACGGAACTCTTCTCGGCCGGGTGGCCTTCTCCAGCCTCATCCTCCCGGTCCCCTCTGCCAGACGGGACACAACCGGCTGCTGGGCCCTGTCTGAGTCACTGTCCCCCTCACAGGCCCCATGACACCTCACTGTCCCCACCTTCCACCCTGTCTGACAACCGCCCCTCCCCCGCCACGCCTTCTGGGGTCAGGGCTTCTCTCTTCTCTTCTCTCTCTACTCTCATGCCCTGGGGATCAGTGGCTCCGATCTCCACCTGCACCCCGAGGCTCCCAGGTAGGAAGGCCGAGCCCAGACCTGCCCTCTGCACCCGACACCCACACAGCAGCCCCCCGCGAGGCCTCTCCACGTGGACATCTCGCCGAGATGGGAACTCAGCACACACACGAGGAGGTTCCTTCCGAGCCCCCCCAGTTGCCTCCCCCACCGGCCCCGTTTCCCATCCCAGAGCACGACCGCCCATGCACCTGCTGCTCACACCTGACCCGTGGGAGTCTCTTCCTCCCTCTGCACCTCCCACGCACAACTCCGCACAGTCCCACCTGCCAAGCCCCGTCCTTACCGCCCGCCCCTCACCACACGCGCTGCAGCCCGAGCCACCACCCCCTCGCCTCCACACGTTTCCACCCCGCGTGCCTCCACACAGCGGCCACGCGTCTCCAGGCAGCTGCGGCTTTAAACCCACAGGAGCTCTCAAGTGTCCTCCAACATGGCCCAGGCTCCGTGCCCTTCCGACCAGCCGGGCTGCCCAGCCTCGCCTTGCACCGCCTCCCCTCGCTCTCTAGCTCCGGCCGCAGCGACCTCTCAGCTCTCCAGAGAGGCCGAGCTTCGTCCTGCCTCGGGGCCTTTGCACGTGATGTTGCCGCCCATCCCATTCTCCACACACAGGGCGTCATCTCGTCCTTGCGGCCACAGCCCAACATCACTGCCTCCGTGAGGACCCTGCCGAGGTGAGGGCCTCTCCCCCGTCCTGATCTCAAGCAGCTGCCGGGCTGACCTCTTCATCTTATACAGTGACTATTTATTAAATTTTATTTATTTATTTTTAGAGAGGGGACCTGGCCTGCAACCCAGGCCTGTGCCCTGACCGGGATTCGATCCACTGACCCTTGGTTCCTAGGGCAACGCTCAATCCACGGAGCCACACCAGCCAGGGCTCCGCTTATTTTCTTGTCTACTTGTTTACGGTCCTTTAGGAGGGCAGGGGCGTGCGTGCTTTGTTCACTGTGGTGGCCCAGCTCCCACCGCCACGCCAGCAGGGAGCTCAGTGCCTGTGGGGGGCACGACGGGAGAGAGCGGGAGAGGAAGCAAGTGAAGCCAGAAAGGGAGACGAGCAGGCAGGGGGAGAGCTGAACCTCAGGGGGAGAGAGGGGAGGGGTCTGCAGGAGGGGCGGGAACAGGGGGAGAGAGACCCGTGGGGACGAGAAGAAGGGGTGCCAGAGAAGGATGAGAAGAGGGAGCAGTGGAAGGGGTGGGGGTCAGGGACAGGGACAGACACGGAAAGAGACACAGACCGGGGAGGGGGAGCCCCGGGCCAGCTCGGAGAGGCAGGCCCTGCGGCCGAGGACCCGCACACCCTACCGTTGCCGTTGGCCAGCTTCGCCAGGGTGACGATGACAAACTCGTCCGCGAGGTCGAGGGGCCTGAGGTGGTGCTGCATCTCGTACATGACCATGCTGAAGTGGTTTCGGGACAGAGCCACCAGGGTGTCACTGGCCACCTCTGCCCTCAAGTACCCCTCCATCTGAGGGGACGGACGGAGAAGCGTCATGTGATGCCACCGCCCTCCGGGCCCTCATAAAGACCCTGCTGCCCCACGGCCCCCCCAGCCTCCGTGGGCCCGCTGGGGCTCAGCCTGTTCTTGCCCCTCGAGGTGACTGGACAAGAGCCTTGGGCAACGCGGGCCGTGCCTCCCAGCGGCCCGGCCCCTGGGTTGGCCGGGGACAGGGCACCGATGGAGCCCGGAGTCCCACTACCTCCAGGATCTCCCTCATCTCCTTGGAGGCGATGGCCACCAGCCTCTGGACGCACTGCTCCTCCAGCTCCCCCTCCTGCTGGACGATCTCCTGGAGGATGTTGTAGATGTTCACTTTGCGCTGGGTGGAGATCTGGGAAACAAGCATGGCGGGCGGGAGGGTCCTGGGCCCGGCGGTGGGGCCGGACAGACAGAGCCAGCCCTGCCCGAGCACACCGTCCACCGTCTTCTCCTTTCGCGGGTCTTCCCTGTGCCCCCATCTGGGGACTGGCCCCTGACCGTCCAACTGCCCCAGCCTCAGACCCCGGCTCCTCCATCCCTGTCGCCTCCCCTTCCCTCGTCCTCCCATTGGCTCCTCCAACTGGCCCTGTGGGGGATTGCGGGGGCGGTTCTGCAAATCTCTGCTCTCTCCCCGGTTTTCAGTCTGGTGAACGCAGTGAGGCAGGCGTCAAAGAGTCAGCAGGCAAGGGCCCGCCACAAAGTTGGCACCTGCCCAATTGCGAGTCTCGGGAAGGGGGTTTGCCCCACCCTTTGGCCGAGTGGAGGAGCACTGGGGACCAGGAAACGTTCCTCTGACCCTATTTAGATCCCCAGATAGCACTTATCAGTGTTATACATGATAGCACTGGACCAAGGCACTGCCCCACCCGGACCACACCCAGGAGCCGTGACTCAGCCACTCCGAAGGAACGAGGGCGGACTCTGTGTGTGAGCCAATGCCTGCAAAGCACTCTGGGAAGAAGCCTCCCTTCCCTGGGCTGTAAGAAGGTCACTGCCTGTCAGCCCAGACACCATAGCAAATCTGGGGGGACCTCAAGAGGAGGGGGATTTCTCTGGGACACGTGAATATGTCCCAGGAATCCGGTACGGAGTGTACCGGGCTTGTTTCGCTAGTGCTGGTATCGCGAGTCCCAGAGGCTTGTAGAACGCCAGCCAGAGACTCCTCACGGGGGCCCCTGGGCCGAAGAGAATCCTGGGGCTTTTGGAGGCCAGTGGTTGTCAACCATTTCTTTTTTTTTTATTGCTCCCTAAGGACCCTTCTTGGACATTTTCCCCTAATCATCCACCATGAAGCCTTAATACCACAAATAGATTCTATATCTCTTTATGGGCTGTGTGCCTGGCTGTGCTTCATACATAAAAAAGTAAGGTTTTCTTTGTGATCCCCCCACATCCAAGAACTGGTTTTACCTGCTTTGGGGTAGTATCCCTGCCTCACCCACCCGCCATAACTCCAGGCGGTCTATATGCTTAATTAGCATCATTAGCACTCTGGCTGCACCCACGTAAATGGCCACATTGTAATAGGACCAGCCTTTTCCCGGATCCAGAGGAGTCCTTGGAGAATGTTCATGGCCACGAGAGAAACACCACCCAAGGCTGGGGAGCTGGTGTCGCCCAGGTGCCGGGCGGCCATCCGGAGGGGCGTGCGGAGCTGCCGGCCTGCACGGTGGGGTTCTGGGGTCTGTGGGAGTGGGCACCTCCATCCTGGGGAGGTCTAGGGGACCTCATGGCTCCATGGGGATGGAAGCTAAGTCGTAGAAAACTGATGACAGTGGCCCTGGCTGGGTAGCTCAGTTGGTTAGAGGGTCATCCCGATACGCCAAGGTCGCGGGTTCGATCCTCAGTCAGGACACATACAAAAATCAACAAATGGATGCATCAATAAGTGGAACAATGAATCAGTGTTTCTCTCTCTCTCTCTCAAATTAAATAAATAAATAAACAGGAAAGAGAACATAATGTTTCTTCCACAGCAATCAAAACGGTTGTTGCTTGGGACAATGCCATTGAATTTTGTCTGGCAAAGAATACAAACCTCTATAACTAGAATTCTCATTTTAACAGATTTTAACATCTACCTGATTCCTTCACTAACTAGCAAACAACGAAACTCTTTGACCCACGTTAATTTAAGAAACATGCCTCCTGGTGAGTTTTCTGTTCCTCACCACTGATCCCTGATTATGGCCTGAGTATTAATCATGTGGTTGTTTTTTTTTTAACTGTGTCTGTTTCTGCTGCTTTGACACCCTGGGATCTCGCTGGCCCCGCAGAGACTGTGGCTCCCGGGCCGCCCAGTTCCTGCAGACAGTGAACAACTCGCTCGGGAGCACACGTGTCAGACGCCAACCGGCCGATCCGGGGCCCAGGCCCCAGCCACCGACCGTGGGCTCCGGGCCGTTGCCTGCCTGCCCTGACCACCCAGGACCAGGCGCCAGCCAGCCGGGGGCAGCCGTCCGCCCGGGGCCCACGGCTCGCTCACACCAGCCGACCCCGAGCCTCCTCCACCCGCCCCGCCTTGCCCGATCCGCTGCCATGGAAGCCACAACGGAAACCGCTGGCCACGCGATCCCCTCACTGCCTCGGCCTCTTGCCCGGCCCTGCTGCTTCCCACGTGGCCAGCGTGGCACAGCCGCCCCTCCTCGCCCTGGGGGATCAGTGCCTGATGCACCGTCTCTCTGAGGTCATCTGCCTCCCGAGCTGCTGGCCTCACCACACCTGAACGGCACTAAAACCTGCGTTTTAAGAGCCGAGTGTGAGAGCCCCCTGCCTGTGCTCCGGGACCCTGGCTCCCTGCTGCACGGCTGGCGCGCACCGTCCTGTGAAATAAAGCTTCCTGTAAAGAACACCGTTGCCACCCAGTCCCAAAGGCCACAGGACAGTCTACACGCCAGCAGCTCTCCCAGTGTGGCCTCCAGACCAGCAGCAGCCGTGGTGGGGCGGGGCCTGGCCCTCCCGGTTTTCACAGGCCGCCCGGGGATGCCGAGGCTCCAGTACGGTCCAAACCCCACCCTACAGGGCCCTGTCGTACGGGGCCCACCGCGCTCTCCCACTACACTCCCCATCATCCCTTCAGCATCCCGTTCCCCGGCCTCCTGCCCCACTAATCAGCCTCCCCACTGGCCTGGCGTCCCTGCACCCTGGGTCAGCGGGGTCTTTGCCCCCCTATATCCGTCGTCTTTGTCTCGCTGCAGAACGACGGCTCCCCAACCCACTGCGTCTCAATACAGAGGAGTCTAGAAAATTGTCAAAGCCCCAGGCTGCACTGGGTCCTCAGGGAGCGAGAGCCTCACAGCCCTGCCCACGTCCTGCACCCAGCGGCACCCAGCCCTGCACCCACGAGGGCCGGTGTCCATGTGCTGAGCGGGGGGTGGACACAAGCAGCTGCCGGCCCCAGACTCAGGGGAGTGGCTGGGGGGGGGCGGCCCTACCTGCGGCACCTGCAGGCAGCGGATGAGGGAGCTCATCACCACGCAGGGCTCGCTGGAGGCCTTCTCCGCGATGATCGCTGAGGCCAGCGCCTTCCGCAGGCTGGGGCCCACCCCAGCAGTGTCCGCCGTGGCTGACTCGCTGTCCATGATGTTGAGCAGGTTTGTGACTTGCTGGAAAGTCCCTGAGACAGAGATGGCCCAGGAGGTGCTCCCCGCGCCCAGGCCTCCCTGGCACCTGCCCAGCCGCAGCTCCACCTGTGGGGGGATTGGGCGGGGACCTTCCTGTCCCCTGGGCAGGTGGAGAAATTGAGACCTCAGCTGGGACATGCCCTCGTGGAAACGAGAGGGGTCGGGAATGCAAGGGTGTGGGTGACTCTCTCACCACTATCGTCTGGTTGCAGAGGGTCCGGCTCCTCTGTTTCCTCAGACAGGTGCTCATTCGAGTCTATTGTTGATTCTGCCATCTCTTCCTTGGGCTCTTTTGACATAAACGAGATTTAGATTTATAAAATACGTGGCGTGTCGACACGCTCTCAGATGGCCTCCAGTGAGGCACTCCCTGTATCGTCCCCTCCCCTTGAGGGTGGGCAGAACCCATGACTTGTTTTTAACCAATAAGAATCTGGCAAAGGTGGCTGGCTGATGTGGCTCAGTGGATTGAGCGCAGGCCTTTGAACCGAAGGGTTGCTGGTTCGATTCCCAGTCAGGGCACAGGCCTGAGTTGTGGGCCAGGTCCTCAGTGGGGGGCATGCCAAAGGCAACCAATCGATGTATCTCTTGCGCATGGATGTTTCTCTCCCTCGCTTTCTCCCTCCCTTCCCCTCCCTCTCTGAAAATACATAAATAAAATCTTAAAAAAAAAAAGAGGCAAAGGTGATGGGAAGCCCCACCCATGCTCACACGATGTCATATCAGACTCCGTCCTAGCAGACTGGACAGAGAGATTCTCCCGCCGGCCTTGAAAGGCAACAGTCATGATGTGGCGGCCGGGGGAGGAGGCCTCGTGGTAGGGAAATGAGGGCCTGGCTCCTACAGCCGCGAGGACCGGGATTCTGCCCACAGCCACGTGAGCTGGGGAGGGAACCGAGCTCCAGAAGGAAGGCAGCCATCTGACGCCTGGAGTGCAGCCTTGGGACCCCGAGCGAAGGAAGGACCCCACGAAGTCATGCCCAGGCTCCAACCCACGGAAACCATGAGATGATCAACGCCGCTCCGCTCACAACCGCTCGTCACTCAGCAGTAAATACATCGTCCCCTTGGTTAGGTGGGCCCTCCCCCCTCTTTTCTAGACACTGGAAATGAAGGATTAATTAGAAATCCACCTCGGCAAGTCTCATAGTCCCTGACAGGGGCCCCCACAACATTAGCAGCTTCTTAAGGGTCGACAAACCCCAACGCAGATGTCAGGCTGGAAGACGAGGCTCCCACACCCTCTCTCCTCCCGCTCCCAAGCTCCTCGGCCTCCGACCCCCGCCCGGAGCCCTTCCCCATCCCAGCCCTTTCCTCCTGCGAATCCTCGCACAGACCTTTCCCCCGAGTTCTCTCCCAGACGCAATCGAAGTACAGCGTGAGAAGCAGACCCGCTGCTGGCCCGAGACACATCCACGGTGAGGACAACGGCAGGCCGGCTGTCCACACGAGAGGCAGCTGGGCTCCTCGGTGGGCGTGCAGACAGGGGCTGGCTCCCCTGGCAGGGCAAGGGGGGGCGGGCTTCCTTAGAACCATCGCCGTTGGGTTCTGGGCCCTTGGAACTTCGAGCTCCAACTGCCTCCCTGAGCCTCTGCCAGCTGAGGGCTGTGAAGAGCGCAGGGCGCCCCGAGGAAACCCGCCCCCCCCAGAGCATGCTGGGGAAACACTGCTGCTGGCCGCAGGTCTGGTGAAGTGCGGTGGCCTCTCTGGGAAAGGAACGTGGTGGGAGGGGGTTGCTTCACAACCGAGACCCGTGGGGATGCCGTCCGAGGGCCCCAGGGTGGGGAGGTGTGGTCGGGGCGGCTGGAGGGGGGAAGGGCGACAGAAAGGCTCTGGGGAGAGGATGCCTCCTCCCCAAGGACCGGATGGCTTGCAGGACGGGGAAGGGGGTTCTCCTGGCAGCATGCTTAGAAGGCAAAGAACCTCAAAGCAGGCAGGGACCTTGTTTTCTTAAACCAAAAGCGGGGTGCAAAGGGTCCTCCTGTCGCTTGCAGCTGTGAGTGTGTCCTGATGGTCAGTTTGAGCGGTGGAGCACTGGCCTTGGGCGGGCTCTCATCCCACGCATCGCGAGCAGCAGGACGAGACTCGGAGCCGCCCGCGGCCTGGCTGTTCAGTTCAGCTTGCACTCAAAGCTTGCCCGCCCTGCGGAGCCGGGGTGAGTTCTCAGCTCCGCTTGGGCACCTCTGATGCCGGGAAGCCCATTACCCTCATCAGCCCGTTTCTCCTTCATGGACTCTGCACGGCTAGAAGATGAGCTCCCCCCCAGTAGTGCCGCACCCCATAAAATGTAAGCATTGTTCCTTGGCCCACCCTTGGGAGACATATTGACAAGCATGGAATAGACTGAAGAAGACAATGATCACGTGTCCCTTCTCTCACAGCCCCCTCTGTCCCCGCTCCTCTCATCCCCCCTGGGCCGCCTTCTGTCTTCCAAAGATCAGTCAAGTGGCAAGGGTGAAAGTTCACAGCAGCTAAGTGTGGCCCTCCATGCCGCGGTGGGTCCAGAGGTGGGTAGGACACACCCTTGTCCTCTGAGGGTCTAAAGACCCAACACAAGAAATGCCATGGGTGTAGAGCCGGAAGTGACTGTATCAGTTAGCCACAGCCGTGTAGACAAGCCACCTCCGCCTTAATGGCTGGCGAGAACCACTTATTGTTGCTCACAAGTCTACAGGTGGTCAGCTGGGCGGCTCTGGGCCACGTCCAGCCCGGCACGCTGGGGCCATGCGTGCGTGCATCTGCAGGAGACAGAGGGTTGGGTGAAGGCCGGCGGCTCCAGGGCGGCCTCACACGCAGGTGTCCGGCAGTTGGCTGGCTGTCGGCTGGGGAGACCAGGATGACACGGGATGACCGGGTCCCCTGTGTCTCACAGCTGCCAGGCGGGGTTCCAAGAGAGTGAGCAGAAACAGGGAGGCCTCTCGGAGCCCAGAGTTGGAACCAGCACCCATCACCTCTGCCACAACCTGTCAGCCAGCGCAGGTCACGGGCCAGCCCAGACGCAGGGCCGGGGAGGGGGACCTCTCCCGTCAGTGAGAGGAGCTGCCGAGTCCCGTCGTGAAGGACGTGGCTGTTGGGAGTGGGGGGTACAGGCCACTTTCCTTTTGCACACACGGCGAGTGTGTAAGCCCAGCCAAGAGTGAGTTGCCTCTCCACAGGTCCTCTGGAGGGAGCAGGAACAGTGAAGCCGAGGAAAAACAAGCGGCTCTGCTGGGCTTTGCACAGCAAAAATGCTTTTTACTTTTCAGATTATGACGCTATGGCTGGACTCACATGCAATCCATTCGTAAAACCAGCCACTGTCTTGTGCTGTCGCTCTACAGAGCCCCCCACCTCCACTGCCACGGGAACGAACTTGAAAGTAAAAAAAAAAAACATTGTATTTGTAGAAAACTCTGAGCTTAAATGCACGAAAGGACCAAGGCAGAAAGCAGGGAAAAGGTACGTGGGTAGTGAGCACATTTGGTGGCATCTCCCCAGCTCACACGGTTCCCTCTTCTCTGACCCTAGGGGTCACAGTTACTGGCTCTCGGTGGTGACGGTTTGCCCCTCTGCAATCCCTCCCCCAACAATTCTGACTGGACAAGGAGTGAACACCTGATCCAGCTGGACCAATCAGATTTTCTCCCAGGATTTAAGGACTCGGGGGCGAGATAGGACCCAGTGGGTGTCCTGTGGCATCTTGGGGCTGAGGGATCTGGGGACTGAGGAGCAGAGAAGGACAGGGGGAAGAGTAAAGTGGTCCCTCATAGTGCACAGGGACGGGGGAAGACAAGAGAGGCCCCCTCTGGAGGCTTGGCCTGAGCCTTGCATTTTTAGGAACCCGTCTCCTTACAAAAGGACCCCCTTTTTGCTTAAGGTATCCCGAGTTGGGTTCTCTTACTTGTAGACAAGAGGCCATAAGGGCTAGAAACACGAAGGTGCAGAGGAACCCGTGGGAAGCCAGAGCAGCTCAGGGCCCACGAGACAGACGCAGGTGGCAGGGAGCAAGGGCAGGAGCCCGGGAGACAGTCACTGGGTGGGTCGCAAGGGCCTGGAAGGAGGGTGGACATAGTCCAGGAGTCGCATGGGGCCCCCAGGTGTGGGGAAGGAACTGTGTGAACAGCTTGCGTTCCCAAAGTAGCTGGGGCAAGGAGCGGGTGGGGCTGGGGTCAGGGGCGGTCCTGGCTGTCGGAGTGCCATCCAGCTCCGCCCCGGAGCCTGTGTGTTTAAAATGTCTGCAGGCAACACAAAGCACCCGGCAGAGGTGTGAACAAAATTAAAGGCAAAGAACACACGGAGAAAACATGCTTCCAGCCCAGGGCAGAGGATCTCCTCACTGGGGCGTGAGCACTCTTAGCGAGTCCTTGGGATAACACCCCCGTGGGAAAAGGAACGGAAAAACCAGTAAGAGAGGCTCACACACTTGTAAAAGTTCAGCTCTTCAGGCTAATGATAAAATAAAAGCAAATTTAAAACAGGATCCCACGTTTCTTCAAACACACTGATGCTTTTCCCCCCCAAGATACTGCTTTCTGCTGCGGAGGGCATGGAACCGGGCTTTCTCGCACCGTCTCGGGATGCAGTCTGGGGACGGTTCAAACCACTTGCAATGAGATGCGGCAGTGCCCCACCCAGATGTCCCATGACCTTCTCTCCTTAGCGCAGGAGCCCACCCCCAGCACCACTGCCTGCCTCGCTCTGCCCAGGGCTCTCCGGCTCCCAGGGCCCCCGTGCTGACTGGGGGTGCAGGAAATTAATACCACTTGGGACCAACCAATTACTGGCAAGGCGAGGGCTCAGTCCGAGACCCAAGGGCCTTGCTTCTTGGTGGGAGAAGGCTGGTGGGTTTTCTGCATGGACAGCCGGTGTCTACTAGGGGGGTTCAGCTCTGTTGCCCACAGCTTCTTGGTGGCCATCACCCCCCATCCCCGTCCCCATGCCCTTTTCAGGGTTGCCTTCAATCCCCAAACGAGCCTCTTGCCCTTGAATCCTCAGGACAAAGGAACCCAGACTGAGACAGCTGTTGGTTTGTTATAAAGCTCTTTCCACGGGAACAGTCAGGAATGGGTGCAAAGACGTCGCTTTTTTTTTTTTATAAAAGAAAATAAAAGTGGATCCACCCAGAAGTTGGGGCTAAACCCACACCAGAGAATAGTCCTTGGTCACTAGAAGCAAACGTTTATACAAAGAACGCTCGCCCTGCAGTGAAGCAAAGAAAGGGTGTGAGACAAACTGGGGATATTTCACACGGCTGCAGTCTTTTCTGTGCGTTTGCCGAACGGTCGCCGTGATTATTTCTGAGGGACGTGACCACAGACGGTTTTTATTTTCCTGTGGGTGTGTGTGGACCAGTTTGTAGTTTTCCAAATTTCTGCCACAACGATGAATGACTTTTGTAATTAGCACATGCAACTTAGCAACCAATAAAGGCCACACCAATGAAGAGAAGAGCCCCCAGGAAATACGACATACAAATTTATTGATCTGTTTTTAGTTGCGGGACATGTACACCAGAGAAAAATACACTTTGGGCTTTTATCAAAGTCAGATGCGTTTGGCACAAGCAATGAGTACCCTGTCAAACACGCTGCCCCCCCCCCTTTGGGACTCGTTCCCCCCCCCAAAGATAGAAATCATACACTGCTCTCAAAGGATGCTATGTCACCATTCATTCAAGTACAAGGCACCAGCCGTGAAAGGAACACACGTTTCCTTCGTGACGTGCACAGAGTGACATCTGTGACGCGTGGAAAGAAATCGGGAGCTGCCATCCCTACTGAAGGAGTTGATTACAACAGTGTTTCGAGGCAGATGGTGTCAGAACCGTCACCGGTGGCGGGGAGGGGGGGGGCAGGCTGGGCTCCCAAACTGGCCCCCTACTGAGGGAGAGAAGAAAGGCGGGGCGAAGGAGGCCCCGCCCACCCCTCTCGGCCAATCGTCTGAGAGGTAGCGAGTGTGGTCCAATTAAAGGTACTGGGGGGGAGGGGCGCAGGAAACATTTTCAAGTATTTCTACCTACAGGTGTGACTACCAATTAAATTATTTTTATTTTTAATAAAACACTCTGGGGTGTCTAACGTAATGCAGCAAAGTACTCCTTCAATGGGCATGACATGAATTTAACACGGACTCTGCCGATTCGGCCCCTTGGTTTCCCCCCTGCTGCTCCTCAGTGCGCCTTGGACTTCTGGGATTTCTTAGCCCGCCGTTTTTTCCCGAAACATTTGCTGCAGGCAAAGGCACAGCTTTTGTAGACGATGAAGACCACCCCCAGCACAATGGCCAAGAGGAAGCCAATCACGTCCAAAGAATGGTACTGGTACCAGGTGAGGTCGTGGGCCGCGGGGCGCAGGTGCGGGGCTCCCTTGTGCCGCATCACGAACTCCACCCAGAACACGGCCAGGTCCAGCGGCTCGATGGGGCGGTCCTTGTGAAGGCTGGAGAGGCGCATGATGTTTTCCTTGTAGCTGCACACAAAGACAGTTACGTGAGTGCTGGGACCTCGGGATGGGGGGGCGGGGGGCAGGCAGCTAGCTCCTCTCCCTTTGTGCCTGCACGCTTGCTTCCAGTGAGACACACTACCGCATTCTTCCACTCGCTGGAGAAATGTGTCTGTTGTAAGTAGCAAAAAACACATGCAATGCACACACCCAATGCTCTTCATCTCCAGGGAGGGAGGGAGGCAGGAAGAAAGGAGGGAGGGAGGGAGGGAGGGAGGGAGGAAGGAAGGGAGGAAGGAAGGAAGGAAGGACGGAAGGAAGGAAGGAAGGAAGGAAGGGAAGGAAGAAGGAGAGAGAGAAAGGAGGCAAGAGAGAAAACGAAGCCAAAATTATTATTTTCAATTATTTGAAAAATTACTGCTTCTTTTCTTTTTAGTAATATCTTTGTAGGAAACTAAGTTATACTTTATAGGTACATAGAGAAATTTAAAAAAGGTCGCACTAGAAATTATAAACAATTGCTCATTCGAATTTGTAAACAGTCAATCTAGTCAAAAGTAAAAGCCATATTTAAGTCCATCCCCGAGACAATCTATTTAATGGATCTAAATTTTGCAGGAGGCCATGTCTACGCAGCCTGTCAGAGCGAACAAACTGGTGTTCATTCAGCACAGTGCTGACGGCTGCACCAGAGCAACCAAATCCCGGACGGCTTGGATGTCCCAGTGCTCAGTGTCCTTACAAACAGATTTTAATGTTTCAGTTTGAGTGTTTACTGTGAGTGCAGCGGGCAGAACACAGGTCGTACTCCTCTACACCCTCCGTCTTACCTTTTGTCATTGATGACAGTTTTGAGGGCATTGGCTAAATCTTCGGAGGTCATTTCCAGGACGTTCAAGGTCACGCCTGCGCCCCGGGTCTCCATGCGCTTCGCATTGTCCATCTGGTCCCCGAACAAGGGCAGCATGACCATGGGGACCCCGTTGCATATGCCTTCGTAGATGCCGTGGGAGCCAGAATGTGTGATAAAGGCACGTGTCTTCGGGTGGCCTGGGAGGTGACAAGGGGGGGGGACGTGGTGGTCAGGTGGCCAGGCGTCACGTGCAGGCGTCGCCTAGGTTCTGAAAGGGCTCTCAGCACTCAGCGCCGTTTTTGCGTGGGCCTTGCAGGCGTTTGCAGAAAAGAATGCGGTGGGGATGCCCCGCCCCTGCCCGCCCCCCTGCCCCCCCAGGTAAAAAGCAAAGTGGGATCTGTCGGCCATAACATTTTCCAGCTAGACAACCCTTCCGAACGGCCGTGCCTAAGCCCCCTTCTTCACCTGACCTCGGCTGGACCCACACATCGAATCCCCTCCACGTACCAAGCAGGTCATTCTGGGGCAGCCACTTGACCAGGACTGTGTTCTTCGCAAGGTTGGGCGGCCGGGTTCCCGTGTACCGCCACAGGACCTGCCGGGGGAGAGGGCAGTTTAACGAACATGATGTGATTTTTTTCCATCTTCTATAGGGGCTAGCAACCGGAGTCTTCTGAGTGAACATGCCCCGTGGGGGGTGGTGATTAAGAAGGCTCTGGGGGCTGGTGACATTTTGGGAATCTGTAAAAATTTACCAAGCTATAGACATTGATGATTTTTGCACTTTTCTGAACTTTGAGGGGGATGTCTACTTAATACAATGAGTGAATGTAGAACTAGAATGATATACCCTTCATTGTCCTAACAGCTTTCTGGGGAAACATCTCTACCTCATACGAAGGGACTATATCTTATTTATTTTACGTTTAAATTCAGTTCTCCTTCCCAGACGCCCGAGCCTCTTAGAGAAGATGAGCCATTTGGGTGACGTGGGGCCGGGTTGCACAGAGCAGCTGAGGGCGGAGTTGCAGAAAGAAGAACTTGGGATTAACGACCGAGAAGAGGCAGGGAACCCGAGTCTAAGGTCCAACTAGCAGAACCGATCCGTAGGTGGAAATGTGGGGTTGCTGCTCGTGGGACCATAGGGAAGCACAGCGTCTCCTTACCGTCTGAGGTATCTTGCCCAAAGCGTCGGCGATCTCCATAGCTCTCTTCTCCGGGATCTCCGAGATCATCGAGCCCAGGGAGAAAACCACAATGCCGTGTTCGCCGGAGGCATTAACGTACGCTTCGAATTCCTAGAGGCGGAAGAGAAATTTCCGGTTAATTCTTCTCACGTTCCTCGGGGGACCGCACGCATTAAGCCACGACACAGATATCTTTCTGCAAAGAATGTGACCTAGCCCTGGGCCAGGTGGCTCGGTTGGTTGGTGCGTCGTCCTGTACACCAAAAGGTTCGATTCCCAGCAGGGGCCCATCCTTAGGTGGCAGGTTCTATCCCCAGTTGGGGTGCATGTAGGAGACAACCGATCAGTGTTTCTCTCTCTCTCTCTCATCAATGAAAACATATCCTCAGATGAGGATTTAGCAAACACGCGTGGTGTAAGGGGTGTGCATGTGCGTGCATGTGTGATAGAGACACAACGCATCAGCGTGTGTTACAGCCCTTCCGCCTGCCTCACTCCCCGTCACAGGAGAAAGGCTTCTGGCTCGCAGGCTCAGTGCGGAGCTCTCTCCTGGGGTGAGAAGCCGAAGGCCGCGGGGAGGGAGGGGGAGGGGTGAGCTAAGTGGGCCTCAGAGGAAGCGGAGAGAGCCTTTAGCTGGGACGGAAACACGGCGGGGGAGGGGATGGAGAGGAAAGCTGGGCAGAGAGGGTTTAAGAACACCTCCCGTGGACTCTAAAACTCCCGTCCGTCCCCTCTAAGGAAGGCTATACAGTAAAGGTGTGCATCCCTTGTCAAGGCTTCTGCAGTATTCCTTTTCTGCAGGAAGAGCGAGCAGAGGTAAAGCACCAGGCTGCAGAGTGTTAAGGCTCAGGCCCTGGAGGTGAGAGAGCCGGCCGTGTGTCCCGGAAGACAGTAGGGACGCCCCTGGGTTCAACCCTCGGCGATGGTCTTAGCTCACACTGTCTGCTCACAGCCTTCAAAGCCAACTCCGGTTTTCAGGAAACACACACACACACACACAGGTGCACACCTGCACACATATATGTGCAAGGGCACACATGCACACACAGGGGTAATTCACTTACAGGAAACAGAGCAAGAAACAAGTAAGGCAATTTCCCCCAACTGTAGGTCACTGAAGACCTAACCACCTCCCCCAGAGTCTCCAAAGAAGGCCAAGGGCATTAGTGAGATTCCTCGATGCCCAGGATTTGCCCAGAACGGAGAGTTTCCTGGAGCACGGGGACTGCTGGCGTTAACGCCCGAACAGCCCTGAGCAGACGTGGAGGTTGGTCACCCCAGACGTGAGACCTAGCAGACTTCCGACAGGGTTCAGCACACACAGTTTTCAGACTCTGCCAGGTTGGATTCAGAGTGTGACGAGTAAGAACGCTGACCAGCCTCCTCGGAGGGGGCCCCACTGTCTGGCCCACCACCCCCCTCCCCAGCCCCAGACCTTCTCCCAGTCCTCCGGCCCCTGGCGGCTGCGTCTTGGCCTTTCCCACCAGGCTCGTCTGAGAGGCCCAGGAGGCCAGCACCATCCCCTCCCCATCACGCTGTATGTTGGGTGTGTGGCAAGGACATCCTACAGCTGCTTTTCCTGAGGCCCCCCCTCCCTAAGGTCGGCAGTCCGGCCCTCATTCCTGGGGAGGGACGGCTCAGCTCCAAGCAAGCATTCCCTTCACCCCTGAGCGAAACTGCCCTCACGTTCAACCTCGTCTAGAAAGGGCCGAGTCAAAGTCCTCTTGCTTGCAAACCCTCCCACGCCCACTTGGCAGCCGGCAGGGTACGAAAACACAAACGGAACCCACAGGCCAGAAACACCCAAGGTTAAATGTCAGCACTTGGCTAAAGCTTAAATGGCACGCACTTCCCCCACAGCTGCCAAAGGCAGCCTACGCAGGTGGCGTTGTCCTGGGCAGGCCTGCCCTGGCCCGGCTCCACGGGAGTCAGTACTAGTACAGTGCCCCACCCCCTACTGGGCAAAACCTCCGGTCCACCTCTCCGCAACTTCACAGACTCCCAGGGTGGCCGAAGAGTGGGGCAACGTGTTTATGGGCTGAGAAGAACCCTCAGTTCCCCCACCCCTTACCACCCTCCAGAGAGATGAGGCTCCTCTGGAAGTTAAAGCACTCGCCCGCTCCCCAGAGGCCTCTGAAACAGTTCCTGACTTTCGCTGAGAGTTTAGTTCATTTTAGTCCCAGGCTCTTATTACATTTTCCCCTCCCAAATGTCTTCAGTTTTGCAAGAACGCTTATCAAGCACTTAGCATGTTGGAAGCATGCTGCTTGATCATTACACATTGAGAGTCACCTACACACACGGCGGGCGTCCCCGGTCACCAGCCCGCCGCCTCCTCGCCCTCGTCAAGTCTCTGTTCTCTCTGATCTTCTGCTTGGCCATTTTCCCTGCACCTGCTATGTGTGGATGAATTCCCCCTCGGCATCTCTGTCTACGTGTCCACAGGGACGGTCCCTCGCCCTGAGAGGGAAATGACGTCCTGGATTCTCGAGTCCCCTTCCTTTGCTCTCAGTGCTGTTCTGCCACCTTTTGTCTTCCGGGCCCCCCAGGTACGCGCAAGGCCAGGCTTTGCTTTCTCTGCGGGCTCTCTTGATCGAATAAAGATTTTATCTTTAATCTTGAGGTTCAGGACTTTAGCCAAGGGCACTGGGAATAAAGTAATCTCCAGTAAAGGAATGAAAGTACAGAGTGCGGTGACCCCAAGAAAGAAGACAGCTCCCGAGGAGAAGCCCTGGCGGCTAACTGGGCTCGAATTGACGAAGAGCCCAGCAGCTGCTACTGTTGCATGAGCAGCAGGGGCCTGTCATGCAAACCTCGCTTCAGGAAGAAGCCTGCACGAAGCTGCCTGCCCCCCCGTGGCCTTATGGAGGAGCTGCTGGAACCCTATTTCAACCAACAAGACCGAGGCTTCCCCATCCCATTGGAGCTGCTTAGCTACATTCCCTCTCCCTCCCCATCACCCTCATCACCAACCAATCAGGAGGGCTCCATTCTAATCAGTCAGGACAGTGCTTTTTGGACCATTCAAACTGCACGGATTTGGATTCCTCATTTGCACGAGGATGAACCTATCAGGGATCAGGGGCAAGGATTTTCTCTCTATAGGTTAGCTGCCCCCCAGCTCTGGGAGGGCACTTTTCCTTTTCACCAAAGACTGGAAAACGTAAGCTGCCTTTCTCCAAAAGACTTTTCACCAGAGCAGGGCAGGGCACAGCGGAGCAGAGGAGAGCTGTCTGGCTGGACAGGGGCCTTCCCAGAGGTCCTTCTCACAGCCCTGCCCTTTCATAATTGGGCCACAACACTAGTGAGCTGCTCCACAGACCGCGCTGTATCACAACGGAACTGTTTGCGCTGAATAATGTTTCCCTCTTCACCTCGCGTCGCCCCCCCCTCGGGGGCTCCTGTCGGCATCGGCATCGAATTGGCGCCACCAACCATCAGTCAACAAGCTGCATTCTTTACCTAACAACGGGGGAAAATGTAAATAAATAGCAACTTGACACACCAGCAAAAATCACAAAGGGGGGAAATAATGAAGTAAAAGAAAAAGAAGTCAAATGGAAGGATTATAATCAACTCTGTTCATTGTTAAATTAAGTGCAAAGAGGCAAAACTCACCCATTAAAGGAACCTGTATGGCCAATTAAAAATATCAGCTGTGTGTGTGTGTGTTTAAGAAAAAGAAAGCTTGGAGACAAAGGAGAACTAAAGAGGTACTAGGGAAATGTAAATAAGAATAATGCAGGGATGGTGATATTAATATTCCACCAAAAAGAGGGGAATTTCAAATTAAGGCATTAAATAAGACAAAGAGGGTTACTGTCAGGTACAATTTACAATACGATGACATTCTCACATTTAAGCTTGTTTGCACCAAACAAAGCCGCTAGTCAATGCAGTTCACCACTCAGACAAATTTACAGGGAAAATATTTACTGGTAAATAATAATTAAAGTGTAATGTAAAAATGCAGTAATAAATTTCAGCAACCTCTTCCATTAATTACCCTACAGTTAAAAAAAGAAATCATTTAAATAAATAAAGACCAAGTGCCAAAACAAACAATGGCAAACATAATGCGAAGTAGTGAATTGAAAAATGATTTCCATTAAAATCCGGAGCAAAACAGGAATCCTTGCTATTGCCAAATTTATTCAATTATTTTTAGAGATTCTAGTTAATTCAATAAGACTGATGGTTGGCATGGAATTTAGAACAGAAAAACTCAAATTTCTTTTTTGGCAAATGACTGCCTGCTAGTGTTTTAAATGGAGATGAGATGGCTGAACAATGAGTAGATAACCAGTTAGAGGCAGAAATGGAAAAAAATATTGATACAGGGTGCAGCCAGGAGGTGCCCAAACAGGGATTCGTAATGGGGTCCAGAACTCAGGGTGTCCAGGAAATATTAAAATATATATATATAGGGAGTCCTCACCCCCACAAGTCTAAATTGGGGGATGGGACACAAGGAGCAGGGCCATTGAGTGTTGTTTTGCACAGCAACAGTTTTGCAGCTAACCTCAGGCATGGTCATTTAACACATCTACAACTTTTATCTGGTTTCATTGATATGTCAAATAGCTGTGGCCGAGACTTGAGCCAGGGAGATGGGAGTGACTTCAACCCATGACCAGACAACTCCCCCTGGTTACAGCGCCTGTGTGAGAGTTTGGAGATGTTTGGCTCCATGCCATGGGGCCACACCAGCCCGGACTTACTACGGCAGCCCAGTAAAGCTGGAAAAATACAGGAATGCTGGCAGGTGTAGCTGATAGTGGGAGGGGTCAGAAATGGGGCTGCAGAGGAAGACTGGCACTGGGATTTAAACCCAGGCACGGCAGCCATGCTAGGGGGGACCACACGGCTTTGGGGTGCTCCCTTTTGCCACGTGGCTTAGGAAGCAGGAGAGACCTTGCTAGGAAGAAAAGGGGTGAAAGGACTCTTGCTGGTGGACCCTAAGAAGATGCCATGTGGTCTTAGATTAACTGGAAATCGGGGCAGTGACTCAGCTGATGGTGCCAGGAACCGCAGGAGGCCGGCCAGCCACCTGTGGATTGCTGGGAACCCAGGGGCTATGTGAACCATGGACTTCTATTTCTTTTCCTGAGATACAGTACCCCAGACTGGGCAGAGGGGGAAGGAAGGACTATGTGCGTTTGTGGGTATTCTAAGGGACTCTGGGATCTCAACAAAGACATTGATTCATTACTCTTAAATTTGTATAACTTTTGAATAAATAATTCCTTTCCTTCTCACCACTCTCTCGCATTGAGAGATGTAATTTCCTGGTGGCGGGCAAGGCGAACCTAGTACAGGGGGACCCTGGGAGAAGGGGGAGGGGTCCATTCAGTAATAGTATATCGTTCCCCCCTCCACAGGTCTGTTCTATAACAATATCACTTTCAAAGTAGTGACCCCTCAAAAATATAAACCACTTAAGAAAAAAATGAATAAGAAAGGAACAGAACAAATATGAAGAAAACTATAAAATGTTTGATCTTTGTTAATGTAAAGTTTGAGGCAACAAGAACAACAAAACACCCTGGAACACAAATGCCAGTGTCCCTCCCCAGGGAACCAGAGGGGAGAGCTAACAGAATAACCCGTGGCACATAAATGCCGTGAGAAACTAGGCAGCAGTTAAAAACAGACATGTCCATGTCCATGACATAGAACCATGACACAGAACCATGTCCATGACATACTGATAACTGAGCAGACGGTGCTGCATGAGCAACCCAAAACTCTATACATGTACATATGCTCGTGTGTGACTATAGGGATTGCTGCCCACCCAGGGACTGGTCCTCAGTCTGGGCCCTGCCCCCTCTTGTTTTCAGTCATTTATATAACATATCACACGAGTGCCTATTGTAGGCTTAGGGACTCCGGTCACACGCTCACCCATTGCCAGGTGTTGAGGGTGCAGGACCCGGCAGAAGTGGCCCCTGCCCCATGTATAAGGAGGAGACAGTCGATAAATAATTCTCTACATGAAATGATCACGGGGTCCGATGTGTTATAAAGGAAGTGGCAGCGTGCTGTCTCCGAGAGCACTCCCCGGGGAAGTGACGTGGAAGCCGGCCTGAACAATGAGAAGACGGCCAGCTAACAGACACAGGGAACAGCATCCCAGGAAGCGGGAACGGCATGTTCAACGGTCGTAAGGGGGAAAGTGTTCTGAAGGTCCCAGGAATCAAGAGAAGGCCGGCATAACCGGGAATATCTACCCAAGTTCACAGACAAGCCCTTCTGGTCTCTGGAATTTCCACCATGCGTGCCTTCCGAAGTGAAACCTTTTTGGTTTCAAAGAGATTCCCTGTTCTCCAAGGTGACGTCTCAGCCCCTGGAAAGTACCTGGACTCCCGGCAGACCCTCAGCCAATACTCAAAGAACAAACGAAGGAAGGCCCGCTGAGATGCACCTCCCCGAGAACCCTTTGCCACTGGTCTTCCGGAGGACCCTCTCCTGCTACCCCCTCCTCCCGCTCCGGGAAGAGGGTGCGCATGCTCCTTTGTAGCATACCTCAGATTCTGTAGTGCAAAAAGGAACAGATGAGCAGTGCAGAGAATGGGGCTCAAGGCCTTTCTGCCCAGTGTCAGAACTCGGCTGTCTGGTCATCTCCTCGTTAGAGAAGCTAGGACTGTGGGACCCAGCTGAGGACGCTGGGATATCTAGAAACTGGAGGTTTAACCAGGAACATAAAGTCCACTTTCCCTACAGGGATCCACAGATGTTGAAACCTTATTTCAGCAACGTTGAATCTCGAGTCCCTGACCCTATCAATCACAGGCAAGGCGCATCTGAACACTGCTGTTCTCTGGAAAACCCCTGCACCCAGCACTCCGCGCATGTGCCCTTTAACCCTTACTGCCTCTAACGGATGGCCGTCCACTGGGGCCCACAGAGTGAAGTGCCCAAACTAGGCCTTCCTAGAGCCGCCAAGCCAAAGCAACAACCCAAAAGATGACCCCAAAGACAGATACAAGTGACAACTCAACCTAGCAAACTTGCAAGAGAGGAGGTGCCATCAGAGGGGCGTTTGACACTGGGCGTGCTCACTCAGGATATTTCCGTGCAAGTTCACCTCCCTCGGGTACAGGCCTGTGGAGTTCCCCCTCCCGCGACGAACCTGGGACAGTGGTTTCTGGTGGGCGCAGTTGATCCCGCCAATGAACACAATGTTGGGCATGACGGGCCTGGCATAATTCATCACGAAGTCGCTTCTCAGCAGCCACACCGAGGCAGAGCTCATAAGGTCCTGCAGGGTCACGTCTTTCCGAAGGACTTCCGAGGCAAGTGGCCCGTACGGGGAATACACCATGCTGCAGAGAAAGCTCTCCGACAAGGCAATGAGCATGTTCTTCACCCGCTGCGGGAAGGTCATGCGGTCCGTGTTGGACGACAGAGCCCTGGGCACATAGGACGGCGGGCTGGGGCACTGGGTGCCCTGAGAGTCCAGGCTGCAGGGCAGTGCATAGGAGAAGAACACCACGGGCAGAGCCAGGTACCGGGCCACGATGGGGCCGCAGGGGAGGACAGGGTCTGTCAACAGAGCGTCGAAGCCGCCTCCAGCCAGGGAGGCCATCAGCTCCTTGTTGTGCAGCAAGTGGGAGCACGCGGACAGAAGCAGAGCCGAGTCCTTCTTGATCTTCTTGTATATTTTGACCACCCGCTGCAAGAAAGACTGCTTCTCGAACACGTTATGCCCGAGGCTGGTAAAAGATGCTTCCAGGTCCTCCCTCCGGAACGGCACAGGGTACCTCTTCAAGGTGTAAAATGCGCCTTCCGTGATGTGCATGGAGGCCTCAGGCGCTAAGACCACTATGTCATGTCCCCTCTGCTGCAAATGCTGGATGAACCCGCGCAAGCTTAGCCAGTGGCTGCCGTCTATGGGGACCAGCAACAGCTTCCCGCCCCGGGACACGGCCGGGCCGAGTGCACACAGCAGCAGGCCCAGGACAAGGGGACTCAGACCCTGGGTCCCTGCCATCACAGTGCCCCTGTCTTTGCCACCCAGAGTCCCATCGGCCAGAGTTTTGTCCTCTGCCACTTACATTTTCCAAGAACCGATCCATACACCGAGTTAATGTTTGACGGTGTCAGTGACTACAGCTATTAGTCAGCTAAAGGCAGCAAAAAGCTAACTTCTAGAAATAAGAAGGGCGACAGGAGGTTTAACTGGTTGGAATTCTTTGTCAGCCACTCAGGTCACATTCTTGAGTGGACAGAGAAGGCAAAGCCTGTCCGGCACTTTTTACTGCATTCGATTAGTATTTCCATGGATCGAGAGAGGGTTACCTACGGGGAAAATGCAATGTGGGGAGAACTACACCTCCTTTCCAGGGATGAAAGAGAACGCCAACTGCACCTTGTAGAAAGGCAAGAAGGTGATAGCACGAGCCCAGCTTTGGCCCGTGGAAACCTTTAAGAATGTCATTCTCCACAGCCCAAGTATCTTTGACTCATTCATCCGACAAGCACTGGTGGAGACCGGCGCAGCGCTGGGCCCGGAGACTCCAGCACAGATCGCCACAGGTGGGTCTCTTGCCTCCCCAGAGCTCATCTTCCGTCAAGGGAGACAGACAGACAATTTAAACAGATAAACAGACCCATCAGAGGTCGTGAAAAGGCTGAGGACCGAGAGCTGATGGGGTACAGACTGAGGGGAGAGGGGAATACGAGCACACAGAAGGCCTTCTGCAGGACAGATCTGCATTCACTGCAAGAGGCAGTGAGAAGCTTTCTGCGTATAGAAGACTAAAATCAGTCATGAAAAAAAACCCCTTAAATTATACTCATCACACCAGCCCAAGGGCCAGGGAAAGGAAGACACTTTGGGGAATTCCGATGACCTTGTTGAAGCAAGGGGTGGAGGTGAACAAAAATAATAATATGCCTTTATGGAGCATGCGCCATGTGCCAAGTTCGGCGCCAAGCACTTTACAACCCTCTTATGTGATCCCCTAGGATTAGCCTGCCGAGGCAGGTACTGTTATTCCCATTTTACAGTCAAGGGCACTGAGGCTCAGACAGGCAAAGTGATTTGCCAGAGTCCCATATTTGCTAGAGTGGCAGAGCTGAGACCCAGGCTGTGACTGCCAGGGCCTAGAGACCCTGCTCTCTGCCACCACGCCCTCTGGCCTCCAGCAGTGCCCAGATAATAGTCCATAATAAGGTCACAACTGATATCTACAACCAACTAGGCCTCGGAGGTAATGACCCCCACAGTCAGCGACCAAGGGAAGCCAGTGGAGAGAAGGCAGAGGGCAGGACTGTGCGACCGAGTAGAATGTGCTCGCAGGGTGGTGTGCTCGCCCAGCACCAACTGGCACCCCAGCAGATCAGGTGAAGGGGCAGGGAACACGTGTGGTAGTTGCCTAACAGAAATGCCCCTCCCGCAGCAAGGGCAAACCGGAGGGCAGGCAGAACCGAGTGCCCCCACACTCTCCTTTTGGGGCCCATGGCTGTTCTAGACCATCCAAGGATGACAGTGTAATATTCTGACCGTGAACAACGGCCACCCCTACTTGGGGGATCTGTTAGGAGGGACATGGAGAAACTGCCACCTTCAGTGTGACTTATGGGACATAGTCACAGGGCCCGATTCTTCCTGGCATTTAGAGCAGCGGGTACTTAGAGCCCCCTTTCCTTGTACCACCATCCTTCCTCCACAAACCTCCAGCCTTGCATGTGCTTGTGGATGAGGGCACACGTGTGCCCACACGCACGTGCGCCCTGAAGCTCCTCCGCCCCATTCCCAGCATGCTCCGTTCTCCAGGACCAAGATTCCGGGCGAGGAGAAAAGGGGAGCCACGTCTTGGCTCATTGGCATGCCCTTATCTGAAATTCTGAAATCATTGCTTCGGTTTTGACATCCAGGGCAATAATTCTCCTGAAGTCTCAGTCTCGTGGGAGCGCATCTGTAGATTACACAGAGCCAAAGGTTGTAAACACAGTCAGCACTGCGAGGATTTTATGAGTTTCCCGCATCACGCGGCACCTCAGAACTTCTGGGGGGCTTCTGTGTCCCTAGATGGTTTCGGTGCCAACTCTACCCATGGCTGGAGGATGCTGTTTACTAGTATGAATAGCGGGCAATGCACATTCACGCTCAAGAATTACGACCACGAACCACTACTAAGCAATCCAGTAAAGCGTCTACCCTAGGACCTGAGCAGACCCGACACGCAAAATCCACGGCTAGTTCTCCCATCCACCGAGTATTTATGCGGAGTGTTGGCGCTACGCTAGGGACTGGCACCAGAAAGCCAGGTTAGAAGTGCGTGTGCCCACCAGGAGGGCTCCCAACCAGGCCGTTACAGGGCCGGTGAGACGGGCCCAGGCGGACAGCACGGGGGCCAAACACAGAGCAGGGCAGAGACGTGGCCTTGCTGGGGGCGACGGGGGGATGGCCACTGCAGAGTGGGGCTGTCCGCGAGGGGGTTCCTGGAACCCCTTGGAAGTTCCTGGAACCCCTTGGAAGGTGATTTCTTTTTAAAGCCGACGCCGGTAATGAGGAGATCAGCATTCCGCTCACTCCTCCCCGCTCCTTCGACGGGACCAGACCGGAGCTGCCTGCGGACGCTCCTACAGTAAAGCAGCTGCGTGAGCGAGCCTACTGCCCTCTGAGTGATCTCGAAGACCTGCCAGGGGAAGCAGAGTGGGCTCCCTGGAGTCTCCGAGGTGTTGTCTTATTCCGCCTCGTGTTCTTCAGCCGTTTGCGTATCCGCCTCTGCTACTCCTGTGTGCCTGCCGGTTCATCTATCTAGACTCCTCACAGGCAGGGTTTCCGCGTCAGCGTTGGTGTCATTTTGGTGATCCCCAGGTGTCAGTCCACGGTTTTTAGACCTGAAGCACTCAGCAAATGTTTCTGTATAGATGTGAATTCCCCTCTCTCTTTGCCCTAGGTCCCATATCCAAGCAAGGAAGTACTGAGTCCAGGTAATTCTACCACCGCCTGTCAGACCCAGCTGCCATGGTCCTGTTCGAGGACTTCAGCCGCCAATGTCCCCAACCACTATCTGTGACTTCTGACTCCTGGCATCAGGCCTGCATGGCCCCACCCCACCACCACCCCTGAAACCTTGGACATCAGCTTCTGAGGGCATGAAATAAAATCGATTCTCCTCAGCCCCACCCTCGGAATTAGGGAGGGACACAGCCCGCCTGCCCAAGCGCGTGCCTCCTCTCCAGCCCTCTGCCTCCTTCCCTCCCCGCGCACTGGATCTCTCGCTCTTCCACAAACGCACTTTGTGATTTCCCATGTCGCTTTGCTCACACAGGACTCGACTCCTGGTCAGCTTTTTCTTCTTGTCTATTACGTGTTTACCAAGTGCCAGGCCCAGGACTTTATATTCTGTCTCTCAGGGTGGTATAAAGGTGGCGGTGCGTTCTGGTGACACAGCACACACGCCCTTCTCAATCTGCTGCCCTTTAGAATAAAATGTTAGAGATTTCATTGGTTAATCATTTTCCTCCTAGGACGATGTGACCTTTATTGGTATTGCCTCACCATTTATCAAAGCAAAGAATATAGGGTCGGAGAGAGAATGAGAGAAGTAGATGTCAAGAAATGCCAAAAATAAAATCGTGGTTGTGACTGTAACAGTTTTAGTGGAAATAATCCCTGCCTTCCAAGTTCAGCCACATCACTATAAACGCAGCCACCAAGTTTCGATCATTTTGACATCGGTTTGCGCCAGGGTACTCTGGGCAACCCCCAAGAATTTTTCAGGGGGTTTTTGCAAAGTCAAAACTATTTCCATAGTTATGATATTGGACTTTTTTACTCTCATTCTCTCCCAAGCGTGCAGGGGAGTCTCCCAGGGGCCTCAGGACACATGACATAACAGCAGATTGAATGCAGGAGATATGAGAATCCAGCTCCCTTTGGCTGAGCCAGTGAGAAGAAAAAGTATAAAAATGATGCCACTCTTCACTAAAACTTTTTTTTGAAAAAGTAATTTACTTCCATAAAAATACGACGTGTAATGGGTTTTCTGTAAGTGAGTCGATTAATGAATTTTTCTGATTGTTTTACTCTCCGACGGAGCAAGTATCGATAGATATAACCCACATAAACACAAGCAAACAGGTTCTGAGGCCAAAAAGTTGGGAGAACTGTTGTCCTAGACAAAAATCTGTGACTGTCCTTCAGCCCAGGGTGGACACATTCACTCCATCTGTACCTCTGGCCAAGGGGAAGCTTGAAGTAAAGGCAACTTTAAGAAAATTATTCTCAGCCCTGGCTGGTGTAGCTCAGTGGATTGAGCGCGGGCTGCAAACCAAAGTGTTGCAGGTTCGATTCCCAGTCACGGTACATGCCTGGGTTGCAGGCCATGACCCCCAACAACTGCACATTGATGTTTCTTTCTCTCTTTCTCCCTCCCTTCCCTCTCTGAAAATAAATAAAATCTTAATAAAAAAGAAAAGAAAATTATTGTCCATGGGTTAAATTCCTCTCTTTTGTACCCAATTTGGAGATCTCAGCTGGCCTGGGGGCTGGGTGGGAGGAGCCAGGCTGTGGGCGGGGCGTTGGGTGGGAGGGGCCTCACCACTGGCAGGAAGTACGTCACAGAGCGCCTCATAGGGCGAGGGGTGTGTCTCCGAGCCCGGCTTCCCGGGGTGCCGCCTGGACCAATGAGATGCGGGCAACGTCACAAGCATCCACCTCCTGGGCGGCCTTGGCTCCCTGGGTGGGCACTTGGCTCACTCCCTGGAGCTGCTGGCTGCGCCGCTCAGTGTTTCTGATCCCCGTGGGCCGTGGCCGTGGCCGTGGCCGCCCGTCCAACATGGTGGACTACTACGAGGTGCTGGGCGTGCCCCGCCGGGCCTCCGCCAATGCCATCAGGAAGGCCTACCGCAAACTGGCGCTCAAGTGGCACCCTGACAAAAACCCGGAGAGCAAGGAGGAGGCCGAGAGGCGGTTCAAACAGGTGGCCCAGGCGTACGAGGTGCTGTCCGACGCCCACAAGCGGGAAGTCTACGACCAGTGCGGCGAGGGGGCGGTGCAGGACGGCGACGTGGGCGGCGGCGGGCTCTTCCAGGACCCGTTCCAATACGTCTTCACCTTCCGCGACCCGGCCGAGGTCTTCAGGGAGTTTTTTGGTGGCCGGCACCCATTTTCGTTTGACTTGTTCAAAGACCCGCTAATTTTGGGGGGTCGGAGGAGCTCCCGGAGAAGCAGAAATAGAGGGTCTGCACCCCCTTCCTCCGCCTTCAGTAAATTCCCTGGGTTCGATGTTTTTTCTTCTTCAAATGCAGGATTTAGTTCCTTTGCTGTTGAGAGGAACGGGGGCTCGTCTTCCTTCTCCATGACTTGCGGCAACTGTGGGATGGGGAACTTCAGGTCCGTGTCGACTTCCACCAAAATCGTTAATGGCAAGAAAATCACCACCAAGAGAATCATTGAGAATGGCCGAGAAAGGGTGGAAGTGGCGGAGGACAGAAAGTAAAGTCCCTGACCGTGAAGCGCAAAGGGCCGCTGCTGCGCGTCAGCACCGAGTGACACCCGTGCTCGTGGGCCTGAAAACTCGCCGGGAGCACTGGCAGGGCGCTTTTGCGAAGATTCCCAGTGGACTCTACTTTCCAAATAACTGTACTCAACAATTTATAAACGGCTCATGCTAATCAATGCCTGTTTGTTCTTATTGTTGGGACCGCACGAATAGGACCTCTGTCTTGTTGAAAATGTCAGCATACGCTGTGTTGTTTATCAAACACACCCCTGAGGCAGACGGTATTAATTTCACTGGGGGGTGGGATGGGGGGCAAAGTGTTCCCAGCAGCAGCCAGGCAGTTGGCTCTAAGGTTAATATGGTCGAGATGAAACGGTGTACTTCATTTTTCTAGTGCACGGTGGTGTAAGATAGGACTATATTAATAATAACCTAAAGATGTTTTTAGTTCTATATACATGCTGGTGACTCAGTAAGAGTTAACTTGTGTAAAGAGGGTGTTAAGCCTCGGCTTCTGAAAACCACATAAACATGGTGGAGTGGATGTAAGAGTTTCCCGTGGGTGCTGTAACAGGTCACTACAGACTTGGTGGCTTTAAAAAACAAATCCACGTTTATTCTCTTACAGGTCTGCAGGCCCCAGTCTGAAGTCAGTTTCACTGCACCGAAAGGGGTGTTGGCAGGATCGTGCTCCCTCCAAAGGCTGTGGGCTAACTAAGTGCATTTCTCACCACCACGTGGTTGGTTGATAATATTAGGACCATATTCAGGTCACTTAATAAAACAATCGTAGTGATGATTCAAGTATTTACATTCATGCAAATCTGACTCCTACCCTTGGCCCAGCTCGCTTCTACAGCCGTGATTGATGAAAATGGGAAAAGCATTTCTATAAGGCTACGTACAACTATTGCATTGCTGTGCGTGGGCTGTGTCTCATATCAAATCAGGATGACGAAAGCCGGGTTTCGCCTGGAATATTGATCGGGTGAGGCAACACACACACATCTGAGGGAGTAGCCTTTTGTTGGGCCAGCCTGTGCCCCCAGAGAAACCCTTTTGGAGTGTGGTTGCCTTGGGGTCATCTGTCACAAACTGTGCCCCTCCCCCTGGTCATCCCAAAAGGAAGGCTTGCATAAAGCGTAAGAGCAAAGAGACGACCGAACTAGACCAACTGCCAGTGCAGCCTGCGTGAGAATGACTTTGGTGCCCTTCAAGTCCAATCCTCGTGTGATAGCGGGCAGACTACACAGCAGGAAGCTAGGATTCAGCCACACCTGTCCCACAGGGGCACACGGAGTCCATTAAAACCACATCAAAGAGCTACCGTATAAAAAGTATCAGAATGAAACAGAGCTTTTTAAAAAACGAGATCATTTGCTTGCCAAGCAAAGGAACTCACACCAGCGAAGACATTCCCGGAGTAATTTGCAGGAAGAGAGCCCTGGGGGGAGCAGGAGGGGACAGGGTGTCGGGCGTCTTGATGTCATACGAGGAAGGGTACACACTTTCATGGTAGATGTGCCAAGTGAGAGTTGAAAATTACTGCTCGCGAGAGGACAGAATAAGAGCATTTGTATCTACACAACTGGTTAAAATAAGTCCCCATTGTTCAGCAGCCAGGAAAGTCTTCGCTTGGGTCCAGTAAAAGTCTCAGAGGTCAGATCTTTAACAGCTCTGGCTCGTTCTGATAGTTGAGGACGTACACAGCACTGAGTTTTGAAATATCCTGGAATTACTGCTCCTAGGTGGGAAGTTTCTCCTTAACAGAAATCTAAAGCATTTTATTTAAAGAATTTTCGAAACTGAAAATCTCTTTTAAAATGTCTGGGCTTTTGGATCAAAAAAATAAAAGGCATTCCCTCTGTTGCAAACGGGGTCACCTCCAGTCCCCTGCAGTGAGGAACTCCCTGGAATCACTCGCATCTTCCCACGGAGCGCACCAGGCAGGGAGAGACACGTTCCTGCAACGCCCAAGAGGCCTGCAGACCTGCGGCCATCTCAGCAGAATCCCAGCAGCCAGACACTTCCCCGGGCTGGCGCACCACCCATCCCTGGTTTAGATCCACTTACCACACACAACGGGAAGAGAGACCTTCCTCGTCTTAGGAAATCATTCCCTCAACTGCCTACCTTTCTAGGAGTTTCTAATTCCACCTAGCCATCTTTGTCCATAAGCACCGCGTCCTTCCGCTGTGTTGGCTCCCACGCACCCGTAGTGCACCCTCCAGTGTGACGCCGATGACCAGCATTCCCGTGTGACCGCACTCTGAGCTGTCGTCACTGGCCTCATTCCTGAAATAGCCTGTCCATCTTTTTATCCCACTCAGTTGAATTTGGGGCTTTTTAGTGACCTAGAGAACTCTTCCTCCTACTCACAAGCAACTTGTATACCTGATCAGAACTAAGCTTTGTGAAGGTGCAGTTCTCTAAGGGAACCTCATTTTGCTTCCACTTAGGGGACAGGAATGTTTATGTAAGACCAGGGAGAGTGCTTCATTTGACTTATCTATACTTGACAAAATTGAGAAGGGTTCTTTGCCTGGACCTGTATGAAAACAAAATTATTTATTGAAAATAAATTTACATTCACCTCTTTGAGGGAGGATAGTAACTGACTTGAAGTAAGCAAGATCATGAATTTTTTAATGCACATAGAAAGCAAAAAAGATCACAGTGGATGATACAGAAAGTAAAATCAGTGATACAAATATGCTCTTTAGAAACACTCTCCCATGATGCAATGGCAAAATACAGAAGACAAAGTTGGAGAGTAAGATGACAGTGACAGAGACGGCAAAACAGTAATCTATGGACGGCACACCTTCCCGAAGGAACCAGAAGAAGAACTTAACAATTTAGGGGAGAACTCGAAAATGTTCAATGGGATCTGGCTTTAACTTCAGACTTACTGTGCGCGGTAGGCACAAAAACGGCCCTGTAAATACATCCACAGTCTAATGCCTGGAGCTTGGACGTGGCAAAAGGGACTTTGCAGGTATCGTTAAGGTAAGGATCTTGAGATGAGGAGACTGTCCTAGATTATCTGGGTAAAGTCAGTGTAACCACCAGAGTCCGATAAGTGAAAGAGGGGGGCATGAGAGCAGAGGGTTAAACTCTCTACACTGCATGGATGGACATGGAAAAGCGCCAGAGAATTTCCCCAGTAACAACAGCAACAAGAAAAAGCTTGTTAAAAAAAAAAAAAGAAAGAAAAACAATGCAGAAAGAACAAGTTTACACCAAATGGAAGGAATAAAATGAAGTATATATATTGTGTGGATTTCAGGAATTCTTACAGCCGAAGAAACAATCACAAGAGGCATTTTAAAAATGTTATTAAAGACTCTTTAAGCAAGTTTTTAATGAAGTTTTTAAGTTAAAAACAGACACGACTTTACATAAATGGCCAAATGAGTTTTGGCAAAGGTGGCAAGAGCACCCAGTGGGGAAGACAGTCTTCCCAACGCGTATTTCCGGGGAACTGGACACCCACACACTAGAAAACAAAAAAGCTGGGCCCTCAGCTAACACCACACGCAAAAACAACTCAACATAAATAAAGCGCACACATGCAACACTTGGCACATGATAAGCTCCTGGGAGAAAACACGGGACAAATTTCAACATTAGATTTGGCAATGATTTTTGGGTATGACACCAAAGTCACAGGTAATGAAAAACAGACAAATTGGACTTTATGAACATTTTTAAATTTGTACATCAAATGGTACTATCAACAGAGAAAAAAAGCACCCCACAAAATGAAAGCAAATATTTGCTAATCATTTATCTGATAAGCAATTGATATGCAGAATACATAGACAACTTCAAAAACTCAACAACAAAAATGCATTCATAAATGGGCAAAAGACTTGGAAAAACATTTCTCCAAGGCAGATACACAGGCAGCCAATGAGCACACGAAGCCATGCTCAACGTCACAAATACTAATGCAGCCCTGACTGGCGTAGCTCAGTGGAGTTTGAGCGTGGGCTGTGAACCAAAACATTGCAGGTTCAATTCCCAGTCAGGGCACATGCCTGGGTTGCAGGCCACCGCCTCCAGCAACCACACATTGATGTTTTTCTCTCCCTCTCTTTCTCCCTCCCTTCCCTCTTTAAAAATAAATAAATAAAATATTAAAAAAAAAAACAAATACAAATGCAAACCAAAACCGCAGTGAGATTCCACATCACATTTATTAGGAGGACTACTTAAAATAAAAGAAAACAAGCGTTGGAGAAGATGTGGAGAAATTGGAACCCTCGTGCACTACTGGTAGGAATGGAAGACTGCACCGACACTGCAGAAAATAATAGGACGCTTCCTCTAAAAATTAAAAATGAAATTACCGTATGATTCAGCAATTCCACAGCTGTGTGTATAAACCCAAAATCATTTAAAGCAAGGTTGTAAAGAGATATCTGGACCCCCACGTACATAGCAGCGTTATTCACAGCAGCTCAAAGGTGAAAACAATCCAAGTGCCGGTCGAAGGGTGAACGGATAAGCAGGCGCCAGAAGTCTATACACTGGAGTATCACGCAGCCTTAAAGAGACTGGAAATTCTGAGATATAGCACGATGCGAATGCAACTCGAGGACATTATCCTCAATGAAATAAGCCAATCACAAAAAGACAAATACCGTGTCACTCCACCGGGATGAGGTACCTAGAGCAGTCAAGTTCTCAGAGACTGAAGTAGGGGAACTGCGGTTGCCAGGGGCAGGCGGGGCGGGGCGTAGGGTGATGGCGGGGAGCTGGTGTTTAACAGGAATAGAGTTCCAAATTCTCAAGATTAAAAGAGTTCTAGACGCCCTGGCTGGCGTAGCTCAGTGGATTGAGCGCGGGCTGCGACCCAGGCATCGCTGGTTTGATTCCCAGTCAGGGCACATGCCTGGGCTGCAGGCCATGGCTCCCAGCAACCGCACATTGATGTTTCTCTTTCTCTCTCTCTCTCTCTCTCCCTTCCCTCTCTAAAAATAAATAAATAAAATCTTTTTAAAAAGTTCTAGAGATTAGCTGCACAACTATGTGAAATAGTAAATGTTAGTCAAGTGTACACTTTATCATGGTTGAGATGGTAAACCTTATATTCAGTGTATTTTACCACTATTTTTTAAATGTTAAAGGCTAACAAGGAAGAAAATGCAGTAGTAATAAAACTATGTGCACCAATCACGCAGCTATACATGTAAGCAAAAACTATTAAAATTCCAAATATAAATTGAGCTAAATTTAAATGGGGTGTCATTTAAGACAACTTCTTCAGAATTGGGCATGCTGAGTTTTTTAATAGAAAAATTAAAAATATGCATTTTAGGAGCATCTGTGGAACATTCACAGGAGATGCTCCCATGCTCCCTGACACAGGAGCCGTTAGCGATACATGACTGCTGACCATTTGAAACGTTCCTAGTGCAGATCGAAATATGCCGTGAGCATAAAACACACACCAATATTTTGAAAACAGTAGCCCTGCCTGGTGTGGCTGAGCAGACGGAGCACCAGCCTGCGGCGAACCAAAGGGTTGCAGGTTCGATTCCCAGTCCGGGCACATGCCTGCGTTGCCAGCCAGGTCCCCAATAGGGGGCGCATGAGAGGCAGCCACACTTGGATGCTTCTCTCCCTCTCTTTCTCCCTCCCTTCCCCTCTCTCTAAAAATAAATAAGTAAAACTTTAAAAAACATTTTGAAAACAGTATTAGACAGAAAAAGAATGTAAAATATCTCCCTAATAATTTCATATTGAGACTATGTCGAAAGGATGATGTCTCGGATATATTTGGCTGCATAGAGTATATTAAAATGAACATGCATTTTGCTTTTCTTTAAACATGCCTACAAAAAAGTTTCAAATAATGTCGGTGGCTTGAAATGCATTTCTCCTCAGTCCCCTCCGAGAAAGGATCGCTCGACGTGATTTGTCTACAAAGGCCACGTGCCTGTTCCTTCTTTGCCCTTCCTCTCAACACCCACCAGCAAAACTCCCCGGGGCATCAGCTCACGACTCAGTATCTCCGCTCCTACCCAGCCGGCGGAGACTGCACACCCGTCAAGGCGGTGCCTTCAGCAAAGGACAATCACATGAATCCCGCCTCTCGTCCCTCTCTCTGACCATCACAGACATTCCCTGCACTGCTGACGCCACCGAAACAGTTAATCTCACCCACGACTCAGACGGAGAATGAGAGGCGGAAACCCACAGAGATGATGGGTAGGTCCGCCAGCACCTGGAATGAGTTGGAAAAATAAAACGCGTCCTGCCCGACGCACGGATTGCACAGAAGCACAGGTACAGACCTGAGACAGTGGCTTCCTGTGGGCACAGTTGATGCCCCCGATGAAGACCATGTTGGGCATGACCGGCCTGGGGTAGTCCAACACGAAGTCCCCTCTGAACAGCCACAGGGACGCGTAGCCAAAAACATCCGCCAGCGACACCTCTCTCTGAAGGAGCTCAGAGGCCAGGCTCGCGTAAGGAGATAAGGAAATGTGGCAAGGATACTGCATGACCAGAGGGTAGAGCATGTTCTTGACCCTTTGCAGGAATGTCATGTGGTCCGAATGCCTTGTTAATAACCTGGGGATATACGAGGAAGGGTTCGGGCACTGTGTGCCCTCAAAGTCAAGGTCGCATGGAATGGCACGCAGAAAAAACACAGCGGGAAGAGCCAGGTGCTGAGCCAGCACTGCCCCGCAGGGGTAGACGGGATCTGTCAGAACCACATCGAAGGCGCTGGCGTTCAACTGCCTGACCAGGTCCTCGTTGCGCACCAGCTCCTCACAAGACTTCTGAAAGAAGACAGACACGTTTTGCAAAACTGCCATCGTATTCCAAAATGCCTTTAGGTAATGTACTCTTTCAAAAATCAGGTGGCTCTGGCCCAACATGATGTACTGGAATTCATCCTGGGTGTACGGAATGGGGTAGGTTTTCAGGGTGAAAAAGTCTTCGTCCTTGACGTGCAGAGTCACCTCCGGTGCAAGGACCACTATCTGGTGACCCCGGGCGTGGAGCTCCTGCACGGCCTTCCTCATGCTGAGCCAGTGGCTGCCCTCCATGGGGACCACCAGCACCTTCCCGCCCTCGGCCCGGGGCCCCGCACACAGGAACAGCAGCAGCCCCGT